TTATTTAATTTAACTATATATCTAACTTTTCTATTTCTTATATTTATTTTATACTTAATTACTCTCTTAATTTTGATTTTATTAGCTTTTAATAAGTTAATTATAATATTATATTCTCATACTACTACTACTCTATCCTATAACTAATTTTTTTTAATAACATCCAATGTCCTATTTTATTGCTTAATTATGCTTTCTTGACTAATTATTTGATGGCCATATAATCAACAAATAAAATAATATAATTTAAGAAAAATATCATATATATCCTTGAAATATGTTGAAATATTAAGAATATCCATATATTCTTAATAATAGAAAATTTATCTTCTCAACTAAAACCTGGTTTGTAAACAAGAATTTTGATAACATTAAATCTACATTCACATAATTCTAAGCTAGTAAATTCAATGGCAAAAAATTAATAATTTTGAAAGTAGAACTCCAAGCATTTTTGAAGAGCATAGTTGTTTAAACTTTTGGTGATGAATTATAGATAAGATAATACTCAAAACCTTTGATACAATTATCATAAAAATAATTTTAACATAAAAATTGTAATAAAAAAAAAAAAACTTATATAACCTTCAATTGTAGGCCATGAAGCAAGAATACATGAATAAGTGAATGAGATGAATCAAAGATAACGGAATTAGAAAAAATAAAAAAATAAAAAAATAATGGCTAAAGAAACATTCACTTGAAGATCAAAAAATTAAAAGAAGATAAAATTTAATATAGATGTGAATTAAATTAGTTTAGTAAGATCTTTAATATAGATGTGAGTTAGATAATTAATTCAGTAATTTTTTTTTAAGCTCTTTGAATCAAGTTGCCTATGCATTGGCCTAAAGATTAGCCTCAATTCTTATTTGAATTGTGGTAGTTTTTAATTTAAAAAATAAATAAATAAATAAATAAATAAATTATAATGCATTTTTATTTTTAAGAACCTCCGTTGCTTTTAACAATTTATAGAATTAAGTGAAATCTTTAGATATGCTAACTAATATAGCCATTTTAGTTATTATTCCTAATAATTCAAAGTAATTTTCTTGTAATTGGTCTAAGATGACCTATGCAACATTAAATAATTTAATTGGCTTTGATTTTTTTTAAATTTGAAGATATTTGTTTCTTTCCTTTTTAGTCTTAGATAGCAAGCTAGCTACTTGTATCCATTATAAAGAAGGTTTAATCTCATTAATTGTCCTTCATTATTTTTGTATTTTGCTATCTTTATTGTTAGATTCTCCAACCTATTAATTTACATGATAAGTAGAAGATCTCATTCATTTAGTTTTCCTTATATTATGTTCTCTATCATGATTCATACTACCTTATTGAAGAGTTCTTTGACTATAGCTTCATTTCAAAATTACCATGATAAGTTATATAAATGGCCATATATAAATACAATCAAATTTTTCTACAACTATGTCTTTCTTGCATTGTTTTTTAGATTAAGCAAATTGATTTTTTACAACTTAATTGTGTAGTATATTTCTTTATTGTCTAAAGCATGGTTGTCTCAAAGTACTTTCTACTTTGTTCAATTCTAATCTTCATATGTTTCAAATACTAAATATACTTAATATCACAACATCTTAAATATCTTGTTTAATTGTAATATTCTTTGACTACATAAGTCTAATAAATCATAAGTCTTGTCTTAATAGATGTTACCAAAGAGTGATATTATAGTCATATTTTCAAAGTGCAAGTTAGTCTTTTAATATTTAAACTTCTTATTTTTGATTTTATATTTTTTTATTATCAAGTAGAATAATATTGGAGCTAAAATGTCTCTTAATTCAAAAGTATTCTAATAATAATCCAAGTTCTTGTAATGACAATTCACATATTATCTAAGCTAATCCATTGTAATATTCTATAATTTTTGATTTTATAATTGGATTCTTTTTAATTAAATTATGCTAATAGATTTTAATTTCTACTATCTAAATAATTAATCTAAATTAATCTAAATTTATAATTAATCTAAATTTATAATTTTTATTTCAATATAATTATATTTTTCTTTATTTAGTCAATATTTTAATTTTGGTCTAAATAATTTTTAATCTAAGTTAATCACAAAAATTATATTTTTTCACTTGCCTTTCATTTCTCTTTAAATACAAGAGTTCTTCAAAAATGAATTTTTCTTAATTAATTAATATCTAATTTAAATATTTTAGTTAAAGATATTATCTATATGATCTCTATTAATTTAAGATCTATTAATTTGAGTATTTAGCCAAATTCTCTAAATCTCTTTTAGTCAAAGAATATGTTAACAAAAACTTTTACTGGACTATATGGTACAATCTAGTAAGTATAGAATTTATCCAAAACTTTAATATGTTGGTTTTTATACAGAATCATAAGCTCACATTCTCTTACCTTGTTATGTGAGGATAGCTTGTCATTGTATATTACTTTTTTCTTTCTTAAAGCTTCCTTGTTCTTATCTAATATTGCTTCTTTGTCCTTTTCTAACTCATCAATAGCATCTTTTATTGCATTTGGTCTAATTTTTCTCCCTTTGTGTATAATTGCTAATACTTAGTGTAATTTTATTTTTGGCTCAATGCTTTGTGATCTTTCTTGATTGTAGACTAAAAAGTACAAGATATGATATGTGGTTATTTTATAGATTTTATTATTAGTATATATCACTAAGGTTGACTTCTTACTCTAATCTTCTTTATGAGCAATCATTCCATTTGTCAATATCCTCTTTATTTTTTAATTAAATATTTTGGTAAGTTTATTTAGGTTTGAGTTATGAAAAGAGGCCTCATTAAACTTTAATCACTTATTTATTTGGTATATAAATAAGTTATTGTTAGTAAAAGTAAGTATGGTGTTGTTTAAAAAGTACAAGTCTATTAATTTTTTATTATTAAAATAAAACCTCATAGACATATATAAAAATAATAAGATAATAAACTAATAAACTAATAAAAAATACTTTTTACTACTTCTTTTGCTATTAAAAGCTTTAATGAAACTTTTTACTACTTTATTTATTTGGAAAGACAAAGTCAAGTTATATTAATTTTTTATTTTTTTTAATACATTGAAAGTTCAAACATGAGACATACATACAAATAATATTATATTATATGTTACATATTATTTACTTGCATCAAATTAATCTATATTATTAGTGATTTTAAAATAAAAATAAAATAGTAAAATTTAACATTTAACCATTAGTGTATTTATTGTTGTTATAAGTTTATTGTTGATATAAGTTGCATAGTTTTAAAGTTTGGGTTTCAAAATACTAAATATATGCCAATATATTTCGGCATTACTGAAAGATAAAAATAAGCTAAAAAATATTCTAAAATTCAATGTTAATGAAGCAAAATTTCAAATATTGTTTCACTCATAATAATTTTAATTAAATGCAAAAATATTATTGAGAAGAATTTTTGTTTGAAAATTTGAAAATTTTATGTATCACATATTAATCAGTAACTTATGTTAAGTTTCATTAATTTTTATATTACTTCTATAATTTGGTAGATTTGTTTTGTTCACAACTCAATGTTTGTAGAAACCTGTGTACACATTTCTTCATTTGTAAATAAAAAAACAGTGGTTTGCTCATGTTAAATGAAATGATTAATTAATATAACAACAAAAAAAATGTCTATCTACTATTGATTTGTAAACTCTTGAAAACACAATTTCAATAAAAAATTATCCATTTTTCAATTTACCATAAACTTCATGAAATAATAAATTACTTGTTCAAACTCAATAATCTTGGACTGTCAATTCGAAGATATTTAAATTTGCATTCACATTAATGTTTTTGAGTGTTGAATTCTTGGTATTAAACTGCAAATATTATGGGAATGGTTGAAGCAATTTTAATACCTTTTTCACAATTTATTTGATGGTACATATTTATTAAGTACTCCATTAATACAACTTTTTTCACTGAAATATATACAAATGTACCACGAATGTTAAAATTTATTTCAAAATGCATTTTCTGATTTCTTATTGCATATCAACGTATAAAAAAATATTTTGAAATATTTTTGTACGTTTTAAAGTATTTATATGATTGGTTCATTAAATCTATCAATAACATAAATTTATTATTTTGAAAAACTAAAACTAAAAATTATTTGTTTAAAATTCGTGCTATCAAAAATCAAAATTCATAAACAACCTATAATGAGAATTATATAATATAAGATAAGAAATAATAATGATATATAAATTTATATGAAAAGAAATTACATTGATTGACAATATTTATTTATTTATTTATTTATTTCGAATCATATTAACTTTTAAACCAAGGATTCAGAAAAAAATCAATTGAATCAAAAACATGAATGAATGAATAACATTCACACATTAGCAGAGCCACATTACCAACTTTTCTCTTCACAAAAAATCAAATTATTAGTTTCAATGTACAAACATTGTTTGTGGTAAACATAAAGAAAAAGAGAATTAAAATTATTATTATATTTTTTTACAAATACACACATATTGTTATTATTTTCTACAAATATATTCTAAAGCACCTTTTTATAAATTTCTTTACATGCACTCACTCTCTTTCTCTCACGAGAGACGGTAAAAAGGCCCTCAACGCGGTAACGGAGGCAACACCGATCCGGACCTAACGCCGCGAAGGGACACTGAACGAAAGCCGCGGGGTCATGAACGAACGAATTCTGTCAACTTATCCGTCCGTCAGCCCGATCCTTTTTCTTTCTCTTTATTTCTTTCTTCCTTTCATCTTGTTCTGCTTCGTTTGTTTTGTTTTCGATTGTTCGTATTTGTTTTGTACGTTTTTTATATTTCCCCTTTATTTCTACCAAAACGCGCGCCGACTTCCAGTCGATCGATCGCTTGCCATCGAGGCTGATGCCAAGCGCGGTGGCCATGGTCCTCATCGTCGTCGTTGTTGTCGACAGGGCCAGAATTTCCCTTTTCGAGTTCCGGGTAAATTCGTGTTTCTTCATCCTTTTGTGTACATTGACAGGGAGTGAGCATTGTTGATGGTAGAGTCTTCGTGGCTGGCTGGCTCGCTCCACTCTGAGCCCCATCCTCCCCAGGAACTCTGTGACGCGGCCAACGCTTAGCAGGAATCTGTTGAATCGTGCAAGCGCTGGACTTCTCTTTTATCGTTTTGGTTTTTTGATTTTCTGGTCCTTGCCATACGAAACGGTGCGGTTGCAGAGGGGGAAGGGGAATTGTATTGCTGCGTGTACCGGTGGAATATCCATCGGAGGTCTGGTGGATTGCGGGAGTGGATGCGAGATATTGGTAGTAGTGCCGCTTAGTTGTTTGTTTTTTATTTTTTTTTAAAATTGGCTTCTGAAGATTGTTGCGGACGTGATGAAGTGATTTTTGTTGGTGGTTGTTGCGATGTTCATTTTGCTTGCAGTGAGAGGATGGTCGTGGAGTGGAAGTTTTCCTTTGCTCTTTTGCTGTTAGGGAAGGAGGGGTGTAGTGCAGGGAGAGGTTTGTTGTTTCAGTTTTGAATTTGTTGGTGAGAATTGCGGAGTTTTGATTGTAGGCAGCATGACATGGCAGGATGTCTACTTCTTAATGCCAGAGTCGAGGCAGATTGGCGGTTATATCTCTGCTTTTTGACAGTGACACCGGAGGCTGGATTGAAGCGTTGTTCGGAGTGCAGAGAGCGCAAAGGATATGAAAACGCCGCGTTAGTCGCAGTAGGGGGAATAAGAAACCTCACGGTTCTTGGGCGAGTATGTTTGCTGTGGCTACTTCGAATGCTGGAAGATAAAGTTGAGCTAGCATCTGGATATTTGTGGATTGGATGCCAGGAGATGGGAGTGTCATCGTTAGGGTGCGGATTTGCTGATTCGTGGAATTTCTTGTAGTTTCACTAGAGGATTGAGCACAGTATTGGAAACATGAAGAAACGAGAAAGAGGGGAAGATGAAAGTATCCTTCCGCAAGGGAAGCGCATTGCTGGACCACGGGTGGGCGAGGCTTCTGAAGCCGCCGCCTCCAACAACCTAGCGCCTAATGGACAGCGGCTGACAACTGATGATGCGCTTGCGTACTTGAAAGCTGTGAAGGAGAAATTCAAGGATGACAAGGCCAAGTACGACGAGTTTTTGGAGGTAATGAAAGACTTCAAAGCGCAGAAGGTGGACACTGCCGGCGTGATCAGCCGCGTGAAGCAGCTGTTCAAGGGGCATCCTCAATTGATTTTCGGGTTCAATGCGTTTCTCCCTAGAGGGTACGAGATCACGCAACCTGAGGAGGAGAAGCCTGCGGTAGAGTTTGATCAAGCGATTAATTACGTTAACAAGATCAAGGCTAGGTTTGCAACGAACGAGAGTGTGTACAAGCAATTTTTGGAGATTCTGAACTACTACCGGAAGGGTAACAAAACCATTAATGAGGTGTATCAAGAGGTCGCTAAGTTATTTGCCGACCATCCCGATCTGCTGGAGGAGTTCACATACTTCTTGCCTGGGACGAATGGTGCGTCGATGGGAAATAGTCATCCCAGTGCCAAACACGTGCCTCAAAATGCACGCCAACGAGATGAGAAAGGGTTTGGAGGAAGCGGGAAGCCACCCAACGAAAGGCCAATTTCTCTGAAGAAGGACAAATTTGTAGCTATGCCAGGAGAACGAAGTCGAGAACGTGAGCCAGAGAGGCGAGTGGAAAAAAATCGCAAAAAGCTGGACAAGGACAAGAAGGATGTTGGGTATGTTTCTAACCACATCGTCATCTGACTTTCTATCGAAATTCAAAAGTTATCAGATGTGTCATTGTGGTTCTTAGATGTGACGAAGATGTCCTATGCAGGTGGCTGTATGTAGCGATTCTGAATTTGTTTCGTGAAATGTGAGGACAGGGACAGGAAGGACAGGGCAGACAGGGAAGGAGGGGGGGATAGGGAGAAGGATTTTGTGGAACAGAAGCCTGCAAAGAGGGCGTCTGCTCGCAATGCGAGCGATGCCATCAGGAGGCAGTCCCAGGCCGCGGAAAGAGCTGAGGGATATTCTGAACCTGCCCCTCAAGCGTCGATGGAGGATAAGAAGATGTTTAAGGGTGCTGTCGGCGTGCAGTACCCATTTTTTGACAAGGTCAAGGCTCGGCTGCGTAGCCGGGACACATACCAGGAGTTTCTGAAATGTCTGAACATCTTCAGCCAGGAGATCATCAGCCGCGAGGAGCTGCAGAGCCTGGTGGGTGACATTCTTGGGAATCATGCGGACTTGATGGAGGGATTCACCGAGTTTCTGACGCACTGCGAGAATGTGGAGGGGTATCTGGCCGGGGTGTTTAGCGGGCGCAAGCTGGGAGATTTTGCGGAAGGTGTACCGCTGAAAGCCGTGAAGACGGAGAGGGATGGTGAGCGGGAGAGAAACCGAGAGAAGGACAAGGAGCGTGAGAGGGAGAAGGACAATGAGAAGGATAGGGACAGAGAGCAAGACGCTAAGGAGAGGGAGCGGCATGTGAAGCCATCGCAGGCAGCGAAGGAGGGAAGCCACAAGGTAGCGTCTAACAGTGACAAGTACTTGAACAAGCCGATATCAGAGCTGGATCTATCGAGTTGCGATCGGTGTACTCCTAGCTACCGACTGCTGCCGAAGCAACATCTTCGGCCGGTGTCGAGTCATCGCACGGCGCTGGGGAACTCGGTGCTGAATGACAGCTGGGTGTCGGTGACGTCAGGGAGTGAGGACTACTCGTTCAAGCACATGCGGAAGAACCAGTACGAGGAGAGCTTGTTCCGGTGCGAGGACGATCGGTATGAATTGGACATGCTCCTGGAGGGGACGGCAGTGACGGCGAAGGTGGTCGGTGAATTTACCGCGAAGCAAGAGGAGCAGAACGGGAAAATGGAGCCATTGCCTCCGGTGGATGAGTTCTTGTCAGCGATCAATTTGAGGTGCATTGAGCGGATATACGGGGATCACGGTCTGGACATGTTGGAGGCTCTTCGCAAGAACACCAGCAGAGCGATGCCTGTGATACACTCGCGTCTGGTGCAGAAGGAAGAGGAGTGGACTCGATGTCGGGAGGAGATGAACAAGGTATGGTCGGAGGTGTACGCGAAGAACTGTTACAAGGCTCTGGACCATCGCAGCTTCTACTTCAGGTCGCAGGACAAGAAGGCACTGAGCACGAAGGGGCTGCTGGCAGAGATAAAGGAGGTGAGCGAGAAGAGGAGGAATGAAGACGACACGGTGCTGGCGATCGCAGGCATCAATCGGGGGCCTTCGCTGCCGGATATGCGGTATGAGTTCAGCGACCTGTCGATCCATGACGATATATACCAGACTATAAAGTATTCCTCGGAGGAGATTAGCAGCTCGCTGGATTACACGGAGAAGACGCTACGAACGTGGAGGATGTTCGTAGAGCCGGTCCTGGGCATATCGTCTCGTTCGCAGGGGGTAGAAGACGTGGAGGAGGGTGTGATGGTGAAGCCATTGGAGGGCAAAGGGGTTGATGGGAATGGTGGAGAGAGCGGTGGCAGTCAAGGAGATGAAGCGAGCAACCCGGAAGATGGGGACATGGCTTCGCATCGGGAGGGCACTGTGAATAAAGGTGTGGTGGTGGTGGGCGTGGAGGGGTCCGAGGGTCGGGTGACGGCAGGAGCGACGAATGAAGAGACCCTGCGAGCAGCGAGTGGCGGGGAGAGAAATATAGAGGAGAATGCGGGAGCAGAAGCGGTTGATCGAGGCAGTAATGGAGCAAGAGAAGCCTTCGTTAGAGGTATGGCAGAGGCGGGTGGGGAAGGCACGGCTGCACGGACGGAAGGGTCTGGATGGTTACATGATGGGAACAGAACGACAAAGCGGAGCTGCAGGGCAGCGGAACGAGGCGAAGTGGGAGGTCGGGCAAAAGTGGGGCTTGGTGAGAACTTGGGTAGCAGATCGGTGGCCGATATTGGCCCTTTGGTAGTTGATAGTAATGGCGGCGGCGGTCATGGGGCAATGGATAGAGAGGAAGGAGAGCTATCGTCTTATTCAGAGCAAGAGGACCGAAAGAAGTCGAAGTACAGCCCGCGGCAGGGAGAGGGGCACGGTGTCGTGAAGTCACTCGGTCGTGAAGAGAATGTAGAAGGCGTGGGTAGAGAGATGGAGCACGAGCAAGGTACGTGTGGTTTGTGTGCGTAGCTCATGAGTCGGAAGGTTAATGTTTAGGTTTCTGATGAAGCGATTATTGTGCAGGAGGTTATGGTATGCATTTATTTCGCCAAGTTGTGAAATGCGAACCATGGCGGGTATAAGACGTCATTGATTGAGGTGGTGGTTAAGCGGTGGTTGATGTGGTATCGGTTTGTGTGACTGAGCATGTGAATCAGTGCTTTGCAGTGGTTTGGGATGTGTAATGATCTTTATGAAGTTTTGGCAGCAAGAAAACTGATGTTGGGCTGCAATTTACAATGTTGGGTTGTTTTGTTGTATGTCTAGATGCAGACGATGAAGGGGAGGAAAGTGTTCAGAAGTCGAGTGAGGACAGTGACACTCCATCTGAAGCCGGGGAAGAAGTTTCGGCAAGCGAGCAGTCTGGGGAAGAGCATTCGGAACATGAGGAAGAGGAGGAGCAAGAAGAGAAGGCTGAGAGTGAAGGGGAGGCGGAGGGCATGACGGATGTGGAGGATGGAGACGTTGATGGGAATTCGTTACTGGCAGATTCGGAACACCCTTTTGCACACTGCCAGCCGCTGGCAGCGTATCCTGGGTCCGGTGTAGGGTTGGTGGGGGCGTCGCATTCAAAGAAAGTCGGAAGTATATTCTATGGAAATGATACTATTTATGTTTTGTTCAGGTTGGGCTCGGAATCCTTTGTTTGATTGTTTGGTACTGGTAGAGTGCGAACAGATTTTAGATATGCAGAGCTCTCGATTCTAGCGGGTGGCTTTGATTTGGGTAGTGTGGAATGGAGTGGGGATTGTTAAGTGGGCTGCTGGCTGTTGCGCACGGTGGCGGACTAGGGAGTTATGCGGATGTTGTTGTGATCTTTGTTGTAAGGATTGGAGTAGAATGTGTGGTGAGGAGGTATTGCATATGTAGATGTATTTGACGGGGATATTGTGTATGCACAGGCTATACCAAACTCTGTACGAGCGTCTGCTTTCGGCGAAAGTGAACGCAGAATTGGCATCTAAAAAAAAGGGCGGCGGCGATGGCGGCGCTCCTCCGAACTTGTATTCTCGGTTCATCCAGGTCCTGTACGGATTGCTAGACGGTTCTGTGGACAATTCGAAGTTTGAGGACGAGTGTAGGGCAATCATAGGCACGCAATCGTATATATTGTTCACGCTGGACAAGCTGATTTTCAAGTTGGTGAAGCAGCTGCAAGCGGCAGCGACGGACGATGTGGTACAGAAGCTGCTGGCACTGAACGCATACGAGCAAGGTCGGGAAACTGTGGATGCAGTTTACTATGCGGACGCTTGCGTGGTTCTGCACGACGAGAGCATATATCGTTTGGAAAAGAGGTCGAACCCGAACGAGTTGCTGATACAGCTGATGGAGAATTTGGATATTCCTGGGAATAGTTTCGAGAGCTCATTTCAGAAGTACTTGGATGGATTTCTAAAGTCCTTATCATCCGACAAGCGGGGGCAGGTGTTTTGTGCGCGAAATTTGAAGCGGATGCGTATTGAAGAGAATGCAGATTATGGGAAAGATGTGAACATAATGAACGGGCTGGAGATTAAGATGTCATGTCGGACGTCGAAAGTGTCGTACGTGCTCGACACGGAAGACGTGTTTTGGAGGTCATTGTCTGGGAGCAAGAGACGGAAGGAGAAGGCGGAGTCGAAGAGGTGGTGCCAGTTTCACAAGTGGATGCAAGAAATGGAGGGTTTGAAGGATGAGTAAGTGCTTTGGATTGAATCTTAGTGGTGAATGTGGTTAGGAATTTGGTGGCAGTTTTGGTTGGAATTGGGGCGTGGCCGCGAGTTGGTGATGACAAATCAAGGTTTTTCCTTATTGGTTCTTTTAACACTTCAAAGGTCTAATTGTTTTAGGAGTCGTTTGTGATTGTGAAAGGCCTTAAGTTCTTGCAGTCGATTTTGACTTTAAGGTTGATAGCTCCCGTTGTATTCCAGCCACGTTTCTACTACTCCTGCAATGTGCAGACATGTTCGATGTTTGTCCTACTTGGATTTTGTCCTCAGTTCGCTCCGTATAGTGCCGAGAGGGTATGTTTGTAAGGATTTGATTGAATTCGGTGAGCATCAATGGTCGTACGTGACGAGACTAACAGAGGTTTACTATTGTGGTTTCAGTGCATTGGGACACTTGAGAGTAATTCAGCAGCTTTAAGCGTTCGGAGCAGAGGTATAGTTTTTCGCCTTAGGTGTTTCTTTGTTTGAAGACACTGTGATGGAGGATGTGTTGGCGATACGTTGTTATTGGGTGTCAGTGAATTATGCATTGGGAGGGAGCTGTATGTAATGATTATGTGTTGGCAGATTTATGGTCGACACCGAAGGCTCTTTCTTGGATCTCTTTCTGCCGTTATGCAGAAGAGGGTTATCAACTCGGAGTATTGTGTTTTTTATAAGACGGGTATCGTGCCGAAGGATAGAGTTATTGGTTGTTTTCAGGGTCGTCAGGTATATTCATTACGCTGGGGAAGGTGTTTTGTGTTACTATTGGTTTGAATCGTACAGGGTTAGATTATGGATAGTTGCTACATGTCAGATGAAAATGAAGGGTAAACGTAGGAGCTTACCACCAAAATTGTTGGATGTTAAGAATCTTCTATCTGATCTTTACCATGTGTTTTCTGGGATGTGTAGGTTGAGTTGATCTAAAAATCTGGACCTGATTTATGTCCATTACTTTGCGATTTTGTGAATTTGGAGAACAGCTTCTGCTGGTTTCACAAGATTAAGTGCTATGCTTGTAATCAAATCATTTTCTTGCATCTAAACCTGGGCTTTTTTTTTCAGAAGCCCAATCGCATAGCGCATATGTCCTCTCAATATATAACACTTGGTATGAGCCCATTTTGAGGTTGATGTATTTCATTTAAGAACCGTATGTTTCTCTCATCAGAAACTTTGCCTGCTGCTATGGTTACAGGGAATCGAAACCGAGTCCATGTTTGACGCTTTTATGTTTAGAGATAGAAGCCAGGAAGTAAATTACAACATGCCATTAGCAACCTTGTTAATTGGTATCTCAGCCTCAGTAAGACATTACTTCTTGAATGTAATAGTAAAAAGTAGATCAACTTGGGAAAGTGATGGAATATGCATTATGCTATGTTCAACCATTCTATATAAATGTCAATTATATCCAACTAAATTCATTCGTCTGTAGATGTCATTCTAATACACCAAATCACTGCATGTGCTATTAGAACACATATTTATTATACAAATATCATGAGAAAAAGTAGGTTGAGCTCCACAATTCGATTGAATTGTTTGGTAAAAGTAAGATTGAGGTTGACTGCTTGGGTGCAATGTAAAGAAAACAAGTACCAAATAGTTTTAAAATTGGAAGAACTTGGTTTAGAAAATCAACTTGAGTCATATAAAATACACACATCTTTATTTTAACATATAATCTACAAACATTTGTAGTAATCTATAATTTATTTTTATTTTTTTACTAACAAGATAAGAGCTCATATTAGAGATTTTAAGTAGAGTATGAAATTCTTGGCTAAGTTTTCATCAATATATTCTTAGAGTGAAGCCAATTCATTTTGTAATAAATTATAGATTGATTTAAATAATAATTTCATTCTTTCTTATAGATCAATTGATTAATCATAAAAGAAATGCTATAGAGGAATATCTACATTCTTCTTCTAAAATACATCTTGATAATCCTTATATTGGATTAGAATGTTGTTTGAAGTTTTTACATTATTTAAATTAAATGTGGCATATATAACAAACAAAGTTACATCTTTTGTAGCATGTATAAAAATTCTTGCTCCTAAAAATAAATATTTGATTGTACTAAGATTATGTCTCATCTTTTAATTAAAAAAAGTTTTAATGATATTATGGAAAAGATTAAGATTATAAGAAATTTATTATATTTGAAGATTATATGTTTTTTTTGCCACAATGAACCTAAAATAACTAGATTAAAAGATAGAGTTTTAATAGTATTATATACCACTAAGTTATTTTGACCATTAGTTGTTACAATTTAAAAAAATAGTTTAATAGGTAACATCTCTAAAAATTAAAAGACAACCATCTATGATTTGTACATGCATGGATTTAGAATTATTCACTAAAGATATGTTATGTTTTATAATAAAGCCTTCATTTAAAAGATTAGTTGAAGCTTTTAAATCTAATAAGACAAAGGCTTTGTAAGTTTTAGATTGTAAATAAAAATCTATTACAAGGAGAGAGTTCTAAAGAGAAAATATGACCTTTATTAGATGTTGTATAAGATTCCAACGACATGGTTTTTCAAAAAGTTGCATAGGTTCTATATAATACAAGCACAATCATTCTTAACGATAATGAGATTTGTCTTGCTTGGTGAAAGATTTAAGATATATTGTATTAATTAGTATGTCTTTCATTGTCAAATGTTGTATTGATAAGATGTCGATATTACTGTTAAATTGTAAAGACATTGAAGTATACTTATGCGGCTCTTAAATTAAAAGTCAAAAAGCAAATTGTTATACTTTAGAGCAAAATCAATTCCTTGATTCAATGTTTGAAGGTCATTGTATGAGATGATATTGATATTGAACTTACATCAATATCATCTCATATTGCAATCTTTAGAAAAGTTGGTTGATAAATGCACCATCATTTTACTTGATATTAGGTGCAATTTGTCAAAATTGTAAAACATACAATGATGCTAAAAAATTGCTTTGATGGAAAATAAAAATCTTATTTGTTGCAATACAAATTACATAATATTTTCTATACATAGAATAGATTTTTTTTTTCAAAAAAAATCTTCCAAACCACTTAATAATTGATTGCAACTTTCAATAAAAATAAAACCTAAAAACAATATTCTAATAAACTTGACTTGTGATTTGGAAATTAAATATGCCATTGATGATTTAATTTGAGTATAGTATTTGTATAAGTTTGAATAATAAAAATCTTTATTTTCTTTTTTCATGCATGAACATCTTTTCTTTAGATTCATCTTATGATACTTTTAAAGTTTTTAAGTAGTTTTTTTCTTAATCTTAGTATTGTTATGAATCTTTCTTTATTTGGTTTTATCTTTTTGTTAATCTTAAAGATTAATAATTCTTCATAAAAAAAGAAATTACATCTTAATATTTGAATTTAACAAGTAATTAATTTTTATCTATAAAACATATGATTTTTATCAATAATAAGATTAAACTAATATATTAATTTTATTTCTTTTATTTAGAATTTCAATTCCAATATTTATCTTTGTATCAAATAGTTTGGATTACTTTCTATTTTATCAATTAGGTCTTCAATATTTATTACATTTAATAAGGTTAGTTTATAGAATTTTTAATTTCTTTTTTTAGTATAATCCAAGTTGATTTTTAAAGATAAATAAACTAGATGGATGATAAATAAACTTGATTAAAAAGAAAATATGTATAGTTGTGGTTGTACCTTTTTAGAAGGCTTTAATGTAGTGTATCTTTTGTTGGATTTAAAATGCTTCTTTTATATTATTAGGCCCTTGCTTGAATTAACTCCTTGATAAAGTATTGTAATCATAGGGTCATATTAGAAATCCAACCTAAATTAGAAATAATATAATTTAAAACAAGTCAATAAATTTATATTGAAGTTCTTTCTAAGTTTATTTATAAAAGAAAATAATTTATGTTCTCCACCTTGAATTAGTTACCATTCTTATTAAATAGATCTAAATATAGTAAAATATATTTTAAATAAAAAATTGCTAGATTATTATATTTAAAATTTTCTTATCACAAATTTCTTATTTATTTGCTAAGTTTCAATATTTATAAATGAAAAAATTAAATTAAATTAAATTAAATGCTTGAGATTATTAAGATTGTTGGCAAGATCTTCTTAGAAAGAGGTTAGAAAAGAATAAAATTAAAATTAAAATTAAAAAAACAAATCAAAATAATACAAAAATCTATTTATATTAAAAGAGGTATGTACAACATTAATACTCAAATCCTAAATATTGTATTATACTGCATGTTAACAATTTATTATTGGCATAAAATACATGAGATCCTAAAATACAATAAAATTTATTATTAGAATTTGATGATATTATGTTCTTATAAATATATCTATATATATATATATATATATATATATTATTTATTAAATAAAAATATGACTTCAAATTTTAATTTGTTTCAAATGTAGTAAAAATAGTTTTGATTGATTATTAGAAATTACAATAATGACAAAAATTTATAAAGATTTATTTTTTAACAAAAAAACAATACGGTAGATTCTATACAATTTATTTAAGCCTCAAATTACATACATGTGAGTGTTTATACGTATGTGTATATATATATATATATATAAACTTCCTATACCTAGAGGTGGTTTTTTGGTATGTTTTTTGGTATGAAAAATAGGACTAAAGGAGTAATACAATTTCCTGTTTACAATAGTAGAATATTGAGAAGAAAAAAGAAATATATATCACCTATCCTGGTGTGTAACATGTCTTTTGTATAACATATAAAAATTAGTCGTTGCAGTGATGCTAAACCACATACTCTGCACAACTACACTTCATGGTCGATTACTTTAATGGTGCTTTTTTCAATGGTATCGCAGTTATAGAAAAAATAGCATTTCAGGGTTGAAGGTATGCTCTATGTTTTGAACTAGCAGACTTTTGGTACCTGACAATCAAGTAGATGCAACTCCCACAACTATATGTATTGTCTCAGAAGGTATGAAGGGAATTCATGCTATAGGTGTGTGTATATATATATTAAAATTTTCTATCATGTAGAGTTCGAATACATGAAAGAATACAAGGAATCATGGCATCCCTTAGTCCCTGATGGGTTAAATCACAATTTACTGGCAATGCGTATGAAGACAATTAGGATAATGTATCTGCTCAACATGAGATCGACTACATTACAAGAGACGCATTAGAGAGGATAGGTGAATCATATAAGGGGAGGGGGAAACGAACTTGAATCACTTACAAGCTACCAGCTCAGAGGTCTGAATCCTTTTACAAAACGAGAGTGCTCTGGGTTTAATTTTGTATAGAGCTCAACATGACTATGACATAATAGGATCAACTAAAAATATAAAAATGACAATATACAACTTCTATAGTACAAGATGAAAATTAGGTTTATCTACCATGACATGTCGCCTACAAGAGTAAAGCTTCGGTATGGCTCATTTGAGGTGGCAAAAAAACCCGCACTTCTCTCTCCTCCGAGAGTATGTTGTGCTTCGGGACCATGATCTCTAGTCCAGCGCACGCTTCCGCATAGAAAGCCTTCAGATCTGCATTCTCAGGAATTCTCGTAGCCAGTCCTATCTCTCGCACAAAATCGCCTGGCCCGCAATGTTCTGGATTGGGGTCAGTCAACTTGAAAGTCCTGTCTCCTCTGACCACTGTTGGAGTCCTGGCCGTGCTGGTACAATGAATCTTCAGAACACCATGAGTAGCAGTGTTACGCCATGACACCCTGAGCCTTTGCATGTCAATAAAAGGTAGGCTTACCATGACAAGGTAACCTTTATCATCCTCATAAATACTCTTGGCTCCAGTAACAGGCCCACAAGCATCGGTCATCACTCCTGAGAAGCTTGAGAGCCAGCAGGGTTCCGTTCCTGTGTGGAAGTTCTCTAGGCCCGCATAGCTCACTACAGGCACACATGAATCAGCCTCGTTGCCGCAGGGTAGGAGCCCAACAGGGAGAAAAGAATTGATCTTCTTTCTCTTACCTCCTGGACTCAGGCTGTTTGGACTACCGCTACTGGCAGGGCTTGGCAGCTGGCTCACAGCATTCACATTGTGATTACCCTCATTCATTCGTCCTGATCGCGCTGATGCTTGCTTCTTGGTGTATCCATTTGGAGGTTTGCTAGGAGAAGGAGAGCATGTACGCTCTAAATCAAAGTCTGTATTTGGAAGACTACGCCATTCAGAGAACCCTTCAGCGTCTGGGGGCATTGTAAAATTGATCTCCCTTCCCGTCAATTCCATCCACCGTTTTAAGTCATCCTCACTGACATTCAGCAAGTTCGGAGCTCTTACAACTTCGACACCATGCACACATTGGGGATTAGACAAGCCTCTATAATGCTTCCTTTGCATTCTGTGGGATCTGGCAAATCCTTTGTCCGCGCTGAAAGGAAACTGTGGCTCACCAAACCTTGCATGTCCATTCATGTAACTACGAAGTTGCATCTTCCCAAGCGCATTTTCGGGCCTCTCCTTAAAAGCCCACATATACATGTTTTCCATGTCATGCTGAACTAGGAAAAGGTCCAATCGCAGATCAGACTTGTCCAAGGGGGGTGCCAGAATGCCATCTCGCAGAAGCTTACCCTGACGTTCATCATTCAATGCAGGTCTGAAGTAATGATTAAAGAAAAACCAAGCACCCCAAATCGTATCACCACGTCGCACCCACCGGCGCCCTTTAGAGGACGTCACAGTTCCCAACTCAAGATTTTGAGCTGGTGCCAAGCTAGTATGCAGTAAATCCGAGGGCTTTAGACCCCATGGGTCTGGACAGATCTCTATTGATAGCGGCAGATTTATATCGGGTGGTCCTCCCAATAGCGTTTGATCTCCATCCTCACATTCCTTGTGGCCATTAGAATCCATGGGCAGCAATGTCAGCAACGAAATGATTCGGATGTTCTGTTATCCTCTTTTCTTGGGCGTGTTCCCCCTCAAAGCCCTGCATACGAATTAAATGAAGAATGCTCACTCAGTATATCAGCTGAGGTGATCCATAACTCCATTCATGCCTCATCTTAATCGGTTCTCCTCCAGAAAATAAGTCAAGCAACCTTTACAAAAGAAAATATAGCTCTTCACACAATGCCTATAAACTGTAATGCCTACCTATGATCTAAAATAGATGAAAGAGTTTGACTGATATCATAATAATCGTTGAGTGCGTGACAGAAGATGCAAGAGTGAATGTCTCACAACGGAGGAACTCGCAGACTTGGAGAGCCAGGTCACCCAAGCAATAAAAACATGTTCATCTACGTAGACTTCTGTGACATGGAAAAATATTCTTAATTTAAAACACGACTGGAGGAAAGTGAAATACTTACAGAGGCCATGGATTTCTGAGATTTGATTTAACTTTTGCTTCCAGATAACCACTTGATCCAATATTTGAATGTCATTACCCATGCGCAGGACGACTGCTATCGATTTTGCAATGCAATCTGCAAGAGAGTAAACCACCTGGAGTCCCCCTTCTTGCAGAAGCCGCACACAGAGTGTTCTTGTGGAAGATGCACCAAGGCACTCGGTGATCGACCTTGAATGAAAAGGTTACTCAGCTGTCCGAATGTCTCAAAACTCAGTCTGATGAGAACAGAGAAAGACAAGTTTAGTGTACACAAGCGAAAATAGAACATATTAGGGATAAAACTAACCTGCAAAAAGAATTTCATGAAAACTAGACGACTTACTGAGCAGTAAGAATGTGCAAGAAAGTGCATTGGCTATGAAAAAAGTAAACACAATGCATCATAACTGAGGCGTTAACATGAGGACATTACAGAACTGTTACAAGAAACTGGTACTGAAACCCCTATCATACAGTACAGCCGTTGACATTACAACGCGAAAGTGATGCAAACCCGCGCCACAAGCATGGATACGCCTCAAAGGCCATATGACAATCAGGAATCCATTCCAGGTCACCCCCTAAGTATGGTGTAAAACCGAACATGCGGAGGTTTGTATCAGAATTTCATCAAGTTCGATAATAGCCAAACATGTAAGGAATTCTCCACACTTAGGATTCGGAAAGATACCAATCGTTGAATAAAAAAGAAAGGTACCCCAGGGATAATCATTTCATTCGAACAGTACTGAAGCCTAAGTCTTGTGGCAGCGAGAGATAGAGGGAAGATGGACGCACAGGTACCACAAATACAATTCACGACTCACACCACCGAGATTAAAGTCTCGCAAAAAATCTAAAAGAAGGCAAGGTAAAACGCGAATAGCGACACAATCGTAAAACTACTTCCACTTTCAATTGAGAAGTTAACATGCACAACTCGTTAACGTGTTCAATTCAATTTCCTCGACAGTTTTCCTCATCTAACAGCCTGAACCAACGAAAATACTGTGATTACATCTTAACCACTGTGGACTACATAATCGTGGCCCCTCGAGCATGATCCTGACTTAGGTCTCGACAGCCGCCAGCAGAAAGTTGTGAACTTAGGTTCTAGAACCAATAAGGATAACATTTTAAAAATTAAAAATTAAAAAGAAATAAAAACGATACTTACAGAGGCCATGGATGCCTGTTGTCTCTATCCAGCGTCGTTGCCAGCTATCTCCTCGCTCCAGTCTCACGATACGCAAAGCTCGCCCATCACCAACGACAAAGCATGAGCCCGTTGAAGACTGGCACAAGCTATGCCCCCTTCCACAGCTGCCAAAGCCATAGAAAATGCCTTTCAAGCACCTCAACAAGTATGCAAGCTAATTATCTCTGTCGGTGTCGCCGCATTCAAACTGTTACCTTACTCACAACTGAATAACCTCTCTCACTCACACATAACGAGCATCGATCCAACCCTCTCGTGGAGTACGAACACTGGGATCGCTCAGACCGCAGACATGTACGTGTACACTAAGATTGCACACTTCAACCAGACCTTTTCAATCTCTCACGTCATGAAAAAACAGTGAAAAAAAAAAAAAAAAAAAAAAAAAAAAAAACACACGTGCACATACGCAATCAGAAGGGCTAATTGAAAGTGCATCACAATGGGGTCTACAAACGCTGAAAAGTGCGGCAACGGCGTGTGAAATCACCGCTTCCCAAGCCCTGCAAAGCTCCCCGCAACCTTGTAACCCGTCGGTCAGCAATTGCCGAGCCCTCACTCAAAGAAAAACCGCACGAAGAATCTCGTTCGACACAGGACCTCGCTCTGCAACTAACACCAACGCAAGCGACTGCGACGGGGATGTGAAGGCGTAGCGTAGCGTCCGCAATCAGAAAAAGAAAAAAGAAAAAGAAAAAAAAAAGTATGAGTGCTCCAGCGAGACGGCCAAGGTCCGCCATAGCCTTGGCCTTGGCCGCAAGTCAGATTCTCCGAATCTGCTCGGCCCCTCTATATCTACGGTTGTTGCAGGATCCTCGTAAGATCTGTGGCGGACGGATGATACAGCTCCGTCGGCTGGCCAGACTCTCGTCTACTTTTCGTCGATCCTGATAAGACCCCATTCGGGCCGTCGTTACTTCGTTCGTCAATCTCGTCCTCAAACGAACGAACGAACGAACGAACGAACGAACGAACGCACTCAACACCAGCGTTTAGTTGCCTGTGAATTTATATGCGGAGTGGTATCCTTGAGCTAATCCTAATGTCTCCTCTTTGAGGCCAATTGTGTGCCTCTGGGTGATGCCTCCTTCCTTCAATTTCCTCACGACTTCTGTTTATTATATCCAGGCCACTTTTCCGAGTGTACGTTGGTTATGGAGCCTGTCCAGTCAGTGAAGAAAGCCGATTCTGTTTCAGCGGCTGGGTTGCGGTACAAAACGCGCTGGAATCCGGCAGGTCAGCGTTCGTTGATTGAGAGATTTCCTCAAGGATCTTCACACGGTTTGTTGTTGTCTTCTTCTTCTTCTTCTTCTTCTTCTTCTGCGCATCGCTTACCCAAATCGAAGGGGTCGCATGTATTACGCACGTCTTGCAGAGCTGATTGAGATTTTTCCTTCGTGATCGAAATTAGCGTTTGGCGCCCAACACATTGTGTTCAGTGCTTCTGGTTGAGTTTGGTTTTATTTTTGGAGATTTTTTCTTTTGATCATGTTGTTTGAATATTCTTGCAGAAATCGAGGGTAGGCGGATGGGATTCAGTGTGTCTGAGATGAGTTTATTTGGCTTCAAAAACTAAGAATACTATCATATCTTCAATTTAATTTGACGAATGTTAATGCTCCGTTCAAAAGTAAGGGAGTCTAAATTGCGTCATGAATGGTGAGTTTAACTTCAAATTGGTTATGATAGAGGATTTTAAGTGTTGTGCAACCCTCCAATTTTTGAAATTTAGTATAATTTGTATTAATAACATGGTTTTCTATGGTACTATATTTGAATAAATATAATGTTGATAAACATTAGTTTGTAATTTTCAATTTATATCATGCTGTAATTTATTTCACTTATATTTTTTTGAAGTACATGTAATGTTTGAATAAAAAAATATAAGTATATAAATAATACAATCAAATAAATTGAATAAAGCATATTCAAAGAATATTTTTGAATTATTACTATTTTATTTTTATTTTAAAAAAGACAATATGTACATGTATCATTGAGATGGAAGAAGAAAAATAAATAAAAGATATAAATATAAGGTAGGAATAAAGTAAATTAACTATAGTCAAATACAAAGAAATTAAAGAAACTTTAATTAAAATTCAAAGATAAGAAAAGCATTGATAAAACTTAAAATAATCTTAGTTATACATCCAAATACACTAGCTAACAAAAATGCCAAGTATTAGCATTTTAAATCCTCAAGCCTTGTGAGTTGTAGTTGGTTTTTCTAGCAACTTCCTAAATATAAGATATTTCTAGGAATAGTTTTTAAAGCCATATAAAATATTTAAATATAATTTATGTTTGTGAAATCTCTTTAATATTTCTTAATAAAAATACTATCTAATTAACATATTTAAGTTTGTTTCAAATTTATTTTTAATTGCTTCTATTTAATATATATTTTCTTTTTATTTAAGTAATATATGCATCTACTACTTTACTTCTTTTTCTACTAAATACTTCTATAAAAATTACTCAAATAGCTAAATGAATTTACAAAATTAAATATTTATCAAATGGTATTTTTAACAAACTTTGATCTTTTAAAAGATACTCAATAGATAGTTTCAATTATTAATAATATCTTATACCAAACAAGAAGACCATCCATTAAATTTGTTATTATAGAATCCCTTATAATTATACAAAATACAAATTAGAAATACTGATTATAAAATTTAACACAACCTAAGTTGTTTAGTTGTAAATTTTTCAAATGATAGTTCTTAAGATATATTTTGGGTGTTGATTTTATTAAAACAAAAACCAAAAAGAAGTTTAAGGTGGATATTAAAAACAATTTGATCCTTAAACTTGTTAATTCCTATTTTACACTATCTTATTGTCAATGGTTGGTCTTTGATTTGGATGTATGTTGTTGATAAAAAAAAAAATAATAATAATTCACTCATATTTACAAGATTTTCAAAAGACTCACATAAATATTTATGAATATGATATTCATATAAATATATAAGACATTATAGTTTATTGTTTAACTACATCAAATTAAAACAAATTATCTACTAAAAACTCTTAATTGTTATTTATTTTGACCTAAGGTGGTGTTAATTGATTCTTTTCTACTATATTCAGTATATTGTATGGCTATATAAGTTAGATTCAAAAAGTAGATGAACTTTTTTTTTATTTTTGTAATTATTAGCAATATGCAAATGGATAAATTAGTTTTTGGATAACAAGGGATCTAAACCTTTATTAATCTAATTTTGTCCCAAGATCAAATAGTCTTTATGTTATATTGAAGTGATCATATCTTATCACTGATTTTGAATATATTTATTCTTCTCTATAAATATTTATATTAGCTTTTGTTGTTCTTAAAATATTTTGAAATGTGCAGGGGTTAAGGGAGTCTTTATAATCAATGGTGTAGAGTTTTTGTTTATGAATAATAAACAACAGAAATAATACATTAATATAATTTTAAAATATTTTTTAATAAATCTAAAATATAAATTAAAAGTTACAATAGGAATTATTCTTAATTTTAATAATGCTCTTTTAGCATCTATATTCTATTCTAGTTTGTCTAAACAATTTAATTATGTGCTTATTGCAACAATTTGACAAAATGCTTGATGAATATTTAATAGCAAATTGCAAATTCTAAAATGTATTAAACATCATATATAGTTAGAGTTGTCAAATTCATAATAGTCCATGCATTCTGAAAACCTATTTTCTAACTATTATTCAAGATATTATACTCCAAGAGTTTTTCTTGAATTTTGTATTATATATATATATATATATATATATATATATATATATATAGTTTTATAACTTCAAGTTTTTATAATAAAATACAATTATTTATTTATTTATTATTCTCTCATACTTTTAGAATATATAATAATATTTCCCAAATAACACAAAAAAAAAAACCTAAAAAATAATAAGTTATATTATTTATCAAATCATGGAAAGTAGCAAAAAAAAAAATTCCAAAAGACATGAAATTAAATATTAATTGGCCATATTTAATTTTTTAAAATCACCAATTCATTATATTTTGAATTATATACTAGATTATAAGCTTATTGTAAATTTATTTTAGTATTATTTATACTTAACTTATTTGATAAAAAAATCCTTGATATTAAGAACAAAGACTAAAATTTATTAATGACTAATGTGTTTAGCTCTCGTTAATTCTTATTTATATATCTGAAGATAATATTTAAAATTTAAACATAAATTTTTAATGAAGGTAAATTTATAAGTGTGTGTGTGTATATATATATATATACTCACATATCTCTATATATATTTGAACATTTTGATATTTTTTCCAAAAATTAAACTAAGATAATTATGTATAATTCGAATAATATGATGAAAAATTCACGAAATATTAACACATATACCAAACATGAGAATGAATAAAAAAATGTAACGAAGATGGTTTAATTCATACACAACTTATCGCTTGCTTACGAATGCTGGATGTTCCTCATCCAATGGATGGAAGCATCCAGATCAGTACGTCAAACCGAACCAGCTGTCGACGACGAACGTCTCTCGCGCACAACCACGGGGTCAATGGATGGATGAAATGTGGCGCGCGGTCGCGGGTGCCCGGGGGTGTTCATCACTTAGTCACCGTGGAAGAAGGGGTGCATCATCAGTAGGCAGCCATCGACGGAGGCGATATCGAAGACGAAGACGAAGCTTTGCTTGGAGGGGCGGAAGCAAGAGCAGTGTCGCCCTCGTCCCCTTTGTGATTTTGTTGCTGACCTAGTATAGTTCAGCTACATGTTATGTTGTCGGATTTGTAAGTGTTAGGATTGAAAGTTAGAGGAGAAGGGAGGAGACGGGATAGACAGAGGAGGGAGAGAGAGAGAGAGAGAGAGAGAGAGAGAGAGGGGTTGCGTGCGGGAGAATTGGAGAAAGGGTTGAGAGATTAGTGCGCGAAGAGATTGAGCAAGATGGCGGCACAGCATGGACAGATCAACGTGATGCTGGCGATACATGCGAAGAGAACGACGGCAGTGGATATGCAGAAGCCGCTGCGGAATTATATCGTGCAGCACTACTCGGAGCGGGAGGCACAGGATATGGAGGAGGATATTGAGGAAGTGAATAGGATGCGGAGCGAGGTGGAGCGATCAACGGATGCTCTTGAGGCGAGGCGGGACTTGTTGCAGCGTTACTTTCGAGCGTTGTCAGTGATGGAGTCGAGGTTTCCGATCAGCAGTGAGCGGGAGCACATAAACACGCTCCATTTTACGTGGTATGATGCGTTTAGGCAAGGGAGGAAAGGAACGCAGCAGAACATCCATTTTGAGAAGGCCGCAATTGCATTTAATCTTGGTGCTGTGCAGTCGCAGATCGCCTTGTCCGCGGACCGGACAACGCCGACGGGCTTGAAGCAGGCGTGTGGCGCTTTCCAGGCCGCCGCTGGCGTGTTTGCATTTCTTAGGGATAATATATCTATGAAGGCTGCGGGGACAGGGAACAATTCGACCATTGATATTTCAGTGGAGTGTGCTGGTATGCTTGAGCGGCTCATGCTGGCTCAAGCTCAGGAATGTTTTTTTGAAAAGGTCGTGGCAGATAACAAACCCTCCCTCTGCTCGAAGGTAGCGAAGCAGGTTGGGTCTTTCTACGAAGAGGCATATGCTGCCTTGGTGCTTCCTCCTTTGAATCAGCACATGGACAGGACGTGGGTTGCTCATGTCCAGCTGAAGGCAGCTCAATTCAATGCGGAAGCATGCTACCGAGCTGCCCTTGATTTACATGAAAAAGAGAATATACCGGAGGAGATTGCGCGATTGAAAGCGGGAAGCAGTCTCATTGCAGAAGCTCGGAAGCAGTCAAAGGGTGCTGCGGTGGGCCCTCTTCAGGATGTAGTTGCGAAACTGGAAACAAACATTATTCGCAATCTCGAGCGGGCAAACAAAGAGAATGATAGAGTGTACCTTATGCGTGTGCCTACCCCTGACAGCCTTCCTCCACTGACTGGCGCTGCACTCGCTAAATCAACTCCTGCAGCAGATGTTTTGGACGCTAGTAAGGAGAAGATGTTTGCTGGGCTTGTACCTGACTCGAGTGCCAAGGCGCTCTCGAAGTATACAGAAATGGTTGATGACATTATTAGAACGCAAGCGGAGAAGCTGCAGCAAGAGAGTGAGATTATGCGGGTGAGACTGAAAGAGATGGACTTGCCTGATTCCCTACGTTCATTGGAAGGGTCGGCTACTCTTCCAGATGATCTTCGGGATGATGTAGAGGCTGTTCAGATAGATGGTGGCCCTTCCGGCCTCGAAGCCGAAATGAGGCAGTTACGAGACTTGCGCCGCGTGAATGAGGAATTGCTGGCTCAAACTGAGGACCAATTGGAGAAAGAGGCTAGAGAGGATGCTCAAATTAGGGCACAATTTGGAACCAGATGGACGCGACCGCAGTCTAGTACACTCACAAAGACGTTGCATGATCGGGCTAATGGGTTTGCTGCCAATTTAAAACAGGCAATTCATCGGGATATTGCGTTTTTTTTTTTTTTTTTTTTTTTTTTTTTTGTGTCTTGACTTGGTTTTCTTGATGCTTCCAGGGTTGGTTATTCAGAATACGCTAGCCACCTTAGTTTTGATTGACCTCTTACTCCTGCCGTGATGTGTATGTGTTATGTACATGATCATTTTAGAGGTATTTGAGAAATTTTTGTTTTGTTTATTTACTTTCTATAGAGAATTCCCTGGACTTATTTATTTCTTATTATTACTGATTTAGTTGTGGGTGCACGTAACAGGCGGGTGATAGTGACGCTCGAATTGAGCGCACGATTCGTGACAACATGCAGATCATGAGCATTCTGGATGCGAAGCCGATTGAGTCCGCCTTACCTACTTTGGGTCGACCAATGTTGTCTCTGGATGGGAATGAGGATCAGATTGTTGGAGCATTGCGACAGAGGCTGACGGAGCTGGAACAGTGTGCGTCACAAAGAGCTGGATTAGAAGATATGCTCAAAGAAATGAGGAGAAAGGATAATATCCTTCCAAAGTTGATGACTACGTCTGGATCCTATGAAGATCTTTTCAAGAAAGAGCTTAGTAAATATGACTTAGTTTCTCAAGAAGTTTTCCGAAATATTGAGAATCAAGAGCGCTTATTTCAGCAAATCAAAATGCATAATGAAGCTTTTTCTGCTATTTTTAACCTCGAAGATTTTAAATCTCAAAAAGAAAAGGCTTACCACCAAGTTCAAGCAGCAGTTCAGAAGTACAGGGAAATTCGTGAAAACATCAATGAGGGGTTGAAATTCTATGTGACCTTGCAGGTTGATTCTTCTTTTCACCTTCATTGGCCTCCTTTTGTCAAGGTTGACTCAAAGCAGGCACTTTCTGCTGTCGTTATGTATGAAGCAGTTTTGGTCTTAATATGCTACAGAAAACCTATTGATTGTTTTCTATTGTGTGGTGTTTACTTACAGGATGCAATCACGAATTTGAAACAACAGTGCAGTGACTATGTGATGACCCGGAGCATACAGTGTCGTGAGATGATGGATGACCTGCAACGGCAAATTGCAGGGCTTTCGTTCACGAACGATAATAGACCTGCCCGCACATATCCGTCTGTAGGAGCATCTGCTCCAGCACCACCCGCTTCACATGGCCAAGATTCTTCTTACTATCATCCTGCTCCCACCGGCTCTGCTCCAGGTTACGCCGGACAGCTGCCAGCACGACCTCCTTACTATGCAGGGCAAAATCAGCCTGGAATGCCCCCTCCTCCATATTATTCGCAGCCCCCTGCTCCTCCACAACCCCCACATCAAGCACATATTTACAGTCAACCTCCATATCCAGGTTGGCAGGGGCAGTACTACAATGGGCCACCTGCACCACAGGCTCCTCCCGGTTCTCAACCTGCGGCTTCATCCCAGCCGCCATACCATGCTCCTCCGGCTGGAGGATTTTTTAGTCATTTTTACAAGCAGTGAGGAATCTAAAGTTCCTGTGAATAGAAGGTGTGTACTGAGATTTACGGTTCACAGATAGTACGTTTACTTTCATTTTAATCGGTGTTTTAACTTAGAACATTATTCGGAATCTTGAACATAGTTAGCTCGTGTGTCTTTCGCTTTCACATTTTAGGCTGTTTTGCAGTATCATACTTGAGAACGTGTTGTGTGATGTGACCTGCGCCAAACCTTACATTGCTGTACTGTAGATTTGACAAGTTTTTGGAAACACGTGCAGAAAGAGTTTTGTTTGGCGTCAATGAGACATCGCATGCTGGTGCGGGTTTTCTTCGATCAGCTATTCTTTATGCCAAGAGGCCCTTTGAGGTTTTGTGAAGGAATCATGCTGTTGTCGTCTGCGGTTTCCGCACTCTTTCAAGTGCAACATGGGGTGCGTGCTTAGTGATAAAAAGAAACACAATGTATATCTGTGTGAATTGCTTTGTTATTCATTCTTAGTCCAGCTGCTTTGAGTGTTTAAAATCATGTAAAGGAAAGGAGTAGGGTTTAAGGCATCTGGTTACAGAGGGCAACACAACGCAACCCATGAATGAATTGTGGTATATGTTGTCAAAGTGGGATGTCAAATTTTTAATTAAATTGCCGTCTGCACACAATTATCTATCTTATGAAATTGTGATGTGTCGTAATAAAGACTTGTCATCATGTCTAATTATTATATTACAAAAAATAATGTGTGGCAAAAAGTCTTTATGGTAAAACGTTTGCCATTGCACAAAACCTTTATAATATTGTGGAGTATCCTAGTAGGTGCTAAAACCTTCAATACAAAGCAAAAAGAGATATTTTATTTATATATGGTTGTTTTTATCTTTGGTGTAAACAAAATCAATAGAAATAAATTTATCTTCTTCTCTAGTAATTGTTTTAAATATATAACACTTAATTGATAATTAAATATGAATATGTTATAATTTGTTCACTCTTATCTATGACTAATCTTAATGTTGTTACACACCTTTTTAGTCAAGTTCAATTTTTTTGGCATTTTAATTCAAGTTAGTATATTATATTAATTTTTTACTTTTCTTGGCATATAGGTCATTTCTTTGCTCTACATAGAGCAAACATTGTGCATAATGCATATTTTTATTTTTCTTTGATTCATTGCCTCGCCTAAATCTTATACTTATGGTTAGATTGATTTAAAAGAAAAGAAAAGAAAAAAAAAAAAAAAAAAAAAAAAAAAAAGGCCATAAGCATGAAGATTTGATAGTTGCATTACAATTTGAATCCTTATCTTGTCTTATCTACTAACAAAATTTAACAAAAATCATTGCCCAAATTTAAAACATGCCTTTAAAAGATTTCGTAATATTAAATATATTTCAAAGCATCCAATTTACAATTCTTAATAGAATTTATTTGTCTAATTTTTTCAATATTATAAGAATGATAAATAAAAAGAAATGGGCCTAAGAATTCTTTTATTATGCTAAAAGCAATTATATCATTTAATAAAGCCAAGCTATGAAATTCATTTAAATATTTTATTTTATTTTATTTCTATTTTCGTATAATATATATATATATATATATATATATATTTGTACATCTAATAATGCTTTACTAATAATAAAATTATTACTAGTGCTATGTGTTGGCTCAAACAATTGAAGTTGATAAAATGAGTCTTTAACCATTGTGATAATATTGGCCTGCTACAAAGCAATAATATTTATAGGATTGCAATAGACCAAAATTTGTGCAAACAACAATCTCAATAAAATTGATTCTTTTGTTTTTTTTTTTTTTTGTTTTTTGTTTTTTTTTTTTTTTTTTTTTTTTTTTTTTTTTTTTTTGGCAATATATTTCATTGTACAGAGCTTTTGACATCCATTCTTTAAATATTTTTATTCTTGGACATCATTTCAAAATAAATAATAGATGAAGTCATTGTATGTTTTAAGGCTATTAAAAAAAATAGAATTGTGAATATAAAGCAAAAATAAAAACAATAACATAAATAATACTCTTTTTGTAACTATCAAAGTTGACCAATTTTGGCTTCTGATATATATATTTTTAATGTTGATTGAAATTATAGTTGACCAAATACTAAATTTGGATATAAAATTTAATTATTACATAATATAGTTCGTTTCTTAAAGATTCAAAAACAATATCTAACACACTTATTGTTCAAAAATATAGTGTAAAAATAAATACTATGAGATTTTATTTAAGAAATTTATATTGGTACATTTGAATCTATGATTTTTTTTCAAATTTAGCTATATGGTCATGGCCTTATTAGACATATTTGAAGCAATATTTGATAGTTTTTTCTAATAGAAAAACTTTAATGTTAATATGACAATCAAAAAATTGACCAAAAATAAGATAATATAGAACCATCTACATATTATATATTGTTCTTTCTTATACTTTAATAACCCTTTCTAATTTATGCTTTAGTAGAAGGTGTATGTATTTTTATTTTTACAGCTTTATTTTTAGAAAATTATAAAAACATATATATATATATATATATATATCCATGCATAATCTAGCTACTTTAAAATGTCAATATCGGCTATAAATCATACAAGTTGTGATTTAAATATAAAAATGCAGTTGAGCCTCAAATTTAAGAAGCATAATTAAAATACTAATAATAGTAATAATAATATATTCATCAAGTTACAACAATTTATTTTTTTCATTTATTAGCTAAGAAGTTATCTCAAAATAATAATAATTTATTCATCGAGATGCCTTGAATTACATCATGTAATTTTTGAATTGGTAATAAAATATATATATATATATATATATATATATATATATATTTAAAATATAATAACATAAATTTCCATAATATTTTAGCTAAAAGTTTCTTCATCTATCGTCTATGATTTTAATGCAGAATTTTTTTGATTAAAAGCTTTTTTTCTTTATTCTTTAAAAAAATATTCTTTTTCACCTTTGCAAGCTTCACCTGCATGTACTAACTAGTGTGCTTCTTAATTGTGCACATATTCTACTTTTTTGCAACAACCTTGATAATAAACTATTCTTCATCTTTTCTATTATTATATATATTCTTTTTTTATTCTTATTTTTTTAACAATAATGGTAAATATTAGTATGTCTAGTAGTAAAGTGTATATATTAGGGGAGCATACATGTTTTTTTTTATTATAGATTAGAATATTAAGAGTATTATTTTTTACATCTATAAAATAATAATTATATACTTTCAATTATTTAAATTTATTATATTATTTTAATAAATAATAATTTTATGTATTAAATAAACATACTTCAAAAAATCTTATAAATTTATACATAATAAAATTTGTCATTAAATTAATAATTAATGATTAATGTTAATTTATTAGAATTGTGATTTTAAATGCACAAGGTTGGTCTTTGTCTTAGTATGTTTATTTTTGTGCATTTAAAATTAAATGATAAACATCTTTGGTTTCATTTTTCTATGATGAGTTAAGATCTATGGGAAAAAATAAAAAATAAATAAAAAAAAGGAGGAAAAAAAAACAAGTATTAAACAACAAAGAAAACATTGTCATTTAAGGATTTTGCCACATATGTGTCCAATTTTTTAAATTCTAAGCATTAAAAAATATAACTTAATTACTATTTATTTATATTTAATAATACTATTTTATATTATTATTATTTTTAAATTAGAAAATTCTTTAAATAATCACTTCTTACTTTGTAATTTTTTTAATATTAAATAAAAAATATATTAACTTGCTAATATTTTTAAATATAATAATGGTGTTATTTTTAAATATTCTTCTAAAACTACAAGTAATTAAATATATATGAAATAATGTATTTTATATTTTAAAAATAATAGGACTATTTTGCCACCCTCTCTACTCTCTATGGTTGTTGCTTTTGAGAGTACTATTGAAAACTTATTTCCAAGTTTTGAAGTTTTTAGATCTAAAAAGGGGTACCAAAATATTTGTATCCTTTATAAGAAACTTACATATGTATGTACTACAATGTATGGCACAATTTATTAGCTTTTATTAAGATTTACAATTCAAACACTCAAAATGTAACAAATTCAACCTTTGCCCTTGAAAGTTTTCATACGAAATTGTGGGCTTTTGTTCTATCCATCATTTTAGAGTTTATTCTTGGTTGTTACTATTAAAATTTCAATCTTATAACATACATATATCAACAATTCATTCTATCACCAGTGTAATTAACTAAGACCAAGTTGCAGACAAGATTGTTGGTTCTATAACGTTGTGGTTGCAGCTAATGGATCAGTTTGTGTAAATAGCAACTAATTATACATTGTTTGAATACATCCTATCGGATTTTAGCTAAAGAGATTAGGAATTCCTCATTCGGAAATGCCGTCTCCGCAGAAGTCTAAAGATAATTGGAGATGCAGATGTGGTCAACTCTGGAAGAAATTGGCCTCCAAATCATCCCAACGAATGCATAGAAGTGCGTTTTGATCTAGAAAAGATTGATGCCGATATCATATTCATATTCTCATCATGCGAAGTATACAATGCTAGTTTCCCACAGTTGGAAATCATTGGAATGATTCCCCCCTCCTAATCTTACTACTAAATTAAGACTAAGCCCACCAAGTAGGCCTTTCTTTGAACATAATGTACAGACCTTAACTAGTGCTGATTCACTAGTCGTGCATCATAGCTAGTTCCACCTTTTCTCTCTCAAAACTGGAAGAGCCTGCGCCTTAACAGGGGCCACAACTCTATTAGAACCTGCAGCAGAACTCCGGGAGGATGGCTTGGCAGGGAGCGTGGTTCTTCTTGCTGTCTTGGTTGCAAGCACATTGCTGGTTGTTGGGGGCCTGTTATTCTCAGACTCCTGGACAGGGGAGTTGCCGTCTCTCATTTCCAGATCTTTACGGGGAGGGAGGAGGAGAGGGGATCTGAAGTGCACGGATTTCGGCTGTGGGAACCGGCTGCTGGGTCCTTTGTTAATAGGAGTAGATTCCAGGACTTGGGCTAAAGTCTGAAGACTGGCATCGAATGTAGACGTGTTGCTTGTAGCTATCAAGTCAAGCCCCCCACAGAGTCTCTGGAGCTCCTCTTCAGTGAAAGAGGCCGAGAGTGAGTTGCAGCTGCTTGAAACCGAGTCATGAGAGCGTCTAACTAAGGAGTTGACCTGCACTGCAGGTTTGACGGCAAATCCGGACCTTCGAGATCGGCCAGGTACACGTTTAGGTGGATTGTTAGGTGATACGTACTTCGTGTTGGAGGTCTTCAGAATACCTTTAACCCTTACCTGAACATCTGAAACGTCAGTATTTTGTGTAGGATATGCGTTCTCATTCGCGAAAACCTCTCCAGTGCAGCTGTTCCTCATCACCTCGCTTATGTTAGGGGGTTTGACCACGTATTCGACAGTTGGTGTTCTATCTATTGCATGCGAACCTGAACCGGCCTCGACTAGTGCGGGTCTTCGGAGTAAGGCCTCGACTTGTGTTTGAAGGCCCTGAGGTAGTTACAAAAGAGCCATTAGAGGACAAAAATTATGAACGATAACTTTTGAAGAGTAATCAATTTGTTTTTAAAAACGCAGATGAGAACTTACATTTACTCTGGTTGATTCCTGCATTGGTGTGGTACAAATCGCATTTGCTTTTAGTTGTTGCATTAATCTAGAGACCTCCTTCGCATGTGTAGCTGATGCAGAGTGAAGAGCTTCCTTGACTTCCTTCAATTCCATTTCGAGTGCTTCTTTAGATTGTACTAACTCAAGAGCCTCTCTTGCTTGCCTTGCTTCAGCTGCCGATGCATCTTTAGCGTGTCTCGATTCAGATGCTAATTTCTCAGCAAGTTTATCCAGAGATAGTTTCGACTCGACTACCAACTTTTCCATCGTTGCCTTCTGATCACGACATGAAGCATCAGCTACTAGGCGCGCACGTCTCTCGTTCAAGAGCTGCGCATCGAGATCTCCCATCTCTTTCAGCTGATAAAAAATAAAAAAGAGTTGATCAGCTTATAATCTAGGGAAGAAGTCAGATAGCGAAGGAGAACGAGATATCTACAGAAGTATGTGAGATAGTTCACAGTGACATGCCTTCTCAGAGAGAGCTTGGCACATCTGGTCTTTCGCCTTCAACTTCGTATCAGTAGTTTGCAGTTTTTCCTCGAGTTTTCTGATTAACTCATCCTTCAATCTACTCTCTTGCTTGCTCTTCTCAGCCTGCAGAACTCAGAAGTCTCGATTGTAAGTCCTACGTAGGACTTAACTGCGAGTCAATTCATGAAATGTAACAAGAAATTGAAGTAGATCTGGGAATCAGTCTTAAGATAGAGCGTAGCTAACCAGTTGCTTGTATTTAAATAGCTCATTTGAGTCTAAATGCTTTCTTGCAGGGCCCAGCTCAACTCCTCGCACTCGACTTGCGAAATTCAATGAACAAAGAGTCTCACTTAAATCAGCTTCATTAGGACTAATTTGTACAAACATCAGTGTCTTAGAGTCCCCTCCTGTAAAACCAAGAAAAACTGTTACATCGAGCACAAACAATGGTAATGAAAAGCCTTGAATATAGCAGCATATGGTCTGAGATCCGCCAGCGAGGAGTAGAAAGTAAGATACCTAAAGAGTCTTGCAGCAGGTGCGTAAGTTTCGAGTTCCTGCAAACACAAAGTAAAGCTTAAGAGATATTTTAACAGTAATTAAAATAACAAGTGACATTAATCATCAGTTGATCCAGAGGACATATCTGAACCGTAAACTAGATATTAAATAAAAGAAAAAAGAAGATAGAACCCAGTTTCCGCCCACACGGAGCCTACATTTCAGCACTGTTGGAGGATACCGCTAATTGGAAGGTGTGAGCACCTGAAGGGCACATGGCTGCTTTTCATTGCAAGAGCTTGGATCACGTCTCCCAAGGCTGACAGAGACTTGTTGATGTTCTGAGCCTCCTTGAGACGATCACCCTGGGCGTCGCTCTTCGCCACTCTTTCGCTTCCAGCCAGATCCACCAGCCACAGTTTGCTCTTAGTTACTTCGCCGGTTATCGTATTCTCACCTCTGACCATTACACAAAGCATGCTGTCCCAGGGAGAACACATTTTTATTAACATTGAGTTGTAAAAGCTTGTTAAAACCGAGTCTGTATTCATTGGGAGACATCAACAAGTTACTTTCATATGATCCGGTGAAAAACACACCAGTGGGATCGGCTGCTGTGATCGTTAGCACGGGTCGAACCCACAGTTCGGGAGTTACTACCCGCTTGAAGAACGCTCCAAACTTCTGCCATGCTGGTCACTCGAGCTTCTACTATACCCGGAACGTGGTGACCTCCTTCGGCAGCTTGTTTGATCTCCAATCTGCGGTTATTCAAAGACAATGGTAAATTCTTAGGCAGTTACGTACGACATGGAGGATGCCGAAGGGTGTCGTAGTCAAAATGCTGAAAATATTGGTGGTTCAATCGTGACTTATCCGTACTTCTTTGTGGGTTGATCCTGAGCAGCAACAGGAACCAAGAGATCCCGAATCTGCTCATTATAAACCTCCATTACGCTCACGGAAATATCGTAGTTGATTTCACCTTTGCGTTGCGCAGCTATAGTAAACAGTTCCTCAAGTGTTCTATAATTCACGCCTCGGTTTCCGGTAGAACCTTCCATGGTCCAGGTTTTTCCAGTCCCCGTCTGCCCATAGGCGAAAATACATACGTTGTAGCCATCAAGAACAGATACTACCACCGGTGCTGTGTCTGCAAAAACATCGGCTGTGAAGGGCAGCGTGTCAGAAATAAGGATAAGGTGAAGGCATTTGACAGCGAGCGTACAAGAACGGGCTCTTAATGCGACAGGCTTACATTGGTCATCTTGAGGCGAGAACACACGATCAAACTTGAATAACTTCTTCCCGGCCGCCCCGTGACGGACGACAATATCACCGCTACTCGCAGATTCGTATTCTGTTACAGAGACAGAATTTGCCAACAGCTCTGCTTGACTTAATGGCCTACACCTACAGAACACACGGATATTTCCTGCACATCAATTCGATGTGGAAAGTAAAGTCAGAAGTACATCATGGCAGCCGATCATGATATTGACACGGTACAGTGGCCGCACCAGTGAGTTGCTGATAACTCAGACGTGTCTATGAATGCATTGAGATTTCACCTTTCAACTCGAGGACTTTATTATATAGTTGCTTTCGTTCGTAGCTTTCGTTCGCATATTTCCTTCGCAAGTCTTGGTGTTCGGTTACTGCATACGATAGGCGATAGATGAGTATTCACATCATGGACGGAGTCGCTGAGTTAAAAGTCCAAAAAACGAAGTGAAAAACAGTTCTTGAGAGATGAACAATTGCGTGACAAGAGCTCGAATGTAGAGCAGTAGAAGGCTTACAGAGGGACTGAACAGATCTTGTAACAATCGAGGGGTCAGGGAAGGAGGCAACCCATTCATTGGCATTATTTAGTAGTAGTTGTTGCTCTTTCTTCAAAGCAACAATCTCCTCGTAAGCTGCGGCTACTTGAGTGAACCATCTCTGACGTTCTTGACAAGTACGTTCTTTAATTGCGTTCATCTCGCTGAGTTGATTCTCCACCGCAGTAGCTGCTCAATAAAAACAAGAACGCCAGAGATGTGTCCTTAGCTACTAACGTAAAAAGATTACAGAATAGGAATGTGTGTAAATGACCTACTGCACATAGAAAAATCGTACCTAAAGAATCAACACAAAGCGATTTCGCGCACAAATCTTCACGCAGCGTATCATTAACGCGATTCGAGTGTTGCAGAGATATCCAAGCTTCTTGACACTCGTTCGTCAGCTCCTTCACCCTGGCTTCGTAATCAGATTTTCGTGTTTCATTGTTGCACTGCAAACAATGGATGCGTCAGAACACGTACAAACTGCCAAAGTGTGTTACATCGTAATCACATCAAATTGGTAACAAAACAAACCTCATGATGGGGAGCCGTATGTTTGGTGATATGGCACAGCTCCTTCTCCTTTAAAAGGAACTCGTGCTCACAACCAAGGGGTTTCGTATTTGGTGGGGTTTTCCCAGTGCCTACAATTAACTTTTTTACCACAGCGGAATTCCGAGAAAGTCGCGTGCAACCTGTTGCAGCAATAGTAATATGTGAAGAGACAACGAGACGTATGAGACCTCTTCACATAAAATGAAAAATTGCAGCGATACAATTAGAAATCCTACATTCGTATCAACATTAGCGAGCAAAACGAAAGAAAATAGAGGTTCATGGCACTCACTCGGAGGAAGTGCAGAGTGGATACAAATGGCGCTTATGGTCGGACTCCCGGTCAGTCCCTCAAATGTGATAGAGAGAGTTCCATCGGTCGTTGAAGTGCAAACACTAAGGATCAAGGCATTGTTTGACCCGACTTCTTCGTACACGTCCAATTCTGAGATGACCTGCGCGAAGAGGTCGTGAATATCCAATCACAAGTGCAAGCTCAATGAAGTCAAAAGAGAATCATACTAAAAGAGAATACCTGCGGTGCATACCTTCTCCTCTTGAACGGCAACATTGAACACCCGCATTCCTGGCGGTCCATCTCTGAACGTGATTTCGGCAAAATGAAGATCCACCAAGTAGTTGCCGTTGGGAAGATCTCTGAACGAATAAGAAAAATTCCCGTAACGAGAGGACTGGTAAAGACGTGCATCAGGAACTCCGGAAATCTCCTTCTCAGTTTTCAGGGCTTCACCGCCAGTATAATAGTCATCTTTGCTGTATGAAATTCCATGCGGCTCACTATCGAGGGGCAACCCCCCACAGTTGATGGCAAGGATCACATCATCTGCAGGTAGGTACACGTACTCGTGAGAGAAGATGAAAGAAAGTGATTTACATGTTAACTATCCTATGAATACAACACATGATGCGACTCCGTGCCAAACGTTACAAAATTTCCAGAACGAAGAACGAATACAAAAGGTCGAGAGGGATGTAAACCTGCAGAGAACGTACGCATGTCCGTTCCCTCTTCGAAAGAGAAACTTTCCCTCTTCATTGCGCTAGCCAAAACCACCACATCCTCGGCTTCGACATCTACACTTGACTGTGACAATTCTTGTTGATCACTGCACTCTTTGGTTGGAGTGAAGTACTGATCTGCAATATCATACTCCTCAGACTTTGAGTTTACCAACATGACTCTACCTTTTGATGTTTCAGCGCCATTGTAGAGGATCGAAGCAACCTCTTGCACGTCGTCACTAGCTATGGCTTCTAATCCAGCCGCAAAAGGATTCTTGTAGAAGGCGTTGGGATGGCCATTCTGAACCTGAGAGGATGAAGTAGGTAGGGAAGTATTGTCATCCTTGCATTCACCAAAATTGTTGGCACGATTATTGACACCAAGCGGCATACGGGTGTCATCTGCTCCGGAGGCAGTTGCTACAACTTCGGAAACCAGAGACTGTGGGCGAAGAGAGCCGATATCATTGATGGCTTGTAGTTCCAGACTGTCACACCTATCATTTTCAAAACTGAACGAAGAACGTGGATCCATTACTGGAACCGCTTGGGCGCTCGTTGCCGCCGCATCGAAACTATCTTCAAGGGCGAAGGCAAACGGACTTTCCCTAGTAGTCGGTGCCTGACGATTTTCTGCTGCAATGTCGGATTTACTGCCATCCTTCTGCATGGTATTTCCGATCGACGATGCCATATGTGACTCCATATCTTCATGGAAATTGGAGCCTGACTTCTTGGGGGACAAGAGCCATTTCAACTCGCCCTCACTGAAAAAGGGCCAGCGATTGCGCAGCTCTCGGATGGGTGGGTCTGGCTGAACTCCATTCATGGGCGAGGGAGGAAGAGAGAGACAAAGAGGACTTGGCTTGGCCATTTCGGGAATTTGGGATACCTTTAAAATGGTCTTCCACTGTTCAGTCCATCACATCACAGATGCCCATGCACAGTTCCTGCAGACATTGGTGAAACACATTCTCAGTCACACGTCCCATAACCAATTACCTTTCGCTTAAAATCGTACACCTGGCCCTCCAAAATTGCGACACTGTGGTAAAAAGAACCATGTCTGCAAATAATACGCACACAGGAGCTCACATAGTGCGGACGCCTGGTTACATGACTGACTACTAAATCGAAACATATAAAACCCATCCTGGCGAACTGGATTGGCTATTCAATTAAAGGACCACGAAGTCCGCAATACCTGTCGAAAAACAGGTCAAGGTAATCGAGTAACTCGAAGTGCGATCACATCACACGAAGAGATTGCACACTGGGCAGCTACTGGAAGCACGATGAGAAATGGCGAGTCACGACGCATGGTTCAATGACAGAAACTAATAAGTATTGCTCAGGTGTCCTCGACCAGAACAACTATCTCATCAAGGCCAACCAGGCATCGAAAAACATAGCCTGCATCCTCAGATTTAGCGATGCTCGCTTAAGTGTTCGATACGCAATGATGCGCCTTTCCACTCATTGCCTCCACGTGCATCAAGACTCACACTCTTGAATAACCCAGATTACAGTTGCCACCCAAGCCAATTCAAAGACTGCGCAATGTCTCAGGTACGACAACAAAACGCACACACGCGTCACTCCACAAAACTACGACTCACAATCAAGCAAACGGATCCACTAACTTCCAGATTGATCTGAACCCACCTCTGGACAGAAAAGGCGGAGCAAGGTGGAGGCGGTCGGAAGAGACACAGTTGCACGGGGGCGAGAGAGACATAGATTGCCGGACTGGCTAACATCTGAGGCGAACAAAAAGAAGGAGTGGGGGTGTGGAGGGGAGGGGGAGTCGAACAAGACAAACCCGCCGGCAAATCGAAGCAGAAGGGCGAGATGCTTGAAAGTGCAAGAATGTGGCACCACAGCGTCAGCGTTCCGCAACGGCCTCTGACTGCACAATTCAATTTCAAACCAGGAGGGAAGGAAGGAGCCGTTACCTCGCCCCCGCCATTCGCCAATTCGTCCGCGCTCTGTTTCTCACGCACGTTCTCTCCGTTCTCTCCCAGGTCCCCTTCGCCATCCTCCGTTTCCAACGACACAGAAAAAGGATGTGATTGGTTTGTCTTTTTTCGGTTCGTTATAAATATGCAGTATCAGTAGCTGTGTCGTTGGTTGCGTAGCTTCGGAGGCGAATTACACCCCGATTCGTAAATCTTTGATAAGAAGGCCGCATTCTTCTGAGGTGTAAAGAATCATTATAATTCCAGGTTGGACCTATTTTTATATTTTTTTGTCAGCTGGAAGCTTGTATCCTAGATTAGAAACTTGCTGGCTATCACTGCATAATAACTCACCAGTGCAGTGTCCGGCGGAAACTTAGCAAATGTCGCAGTGAATCTCCAATATAAGCCCCATTGGACGCTATTAATTGCCACTTGTCGTTGCCACAGTGCCAATGCGGAGCTTCGTAGACTCGCGTCCCCGGCATGAGGACATCTCATCCTTCTCCTCCTTGAGACATGTACTTATGAGCGCAAGCTTCGCAATAAACCATGTTTAGTTTTTTTTTCTAGCTACGCGTCAAATGGATCATGATCCATCATGTAAGATGTTCTAAACCTGGACGCACTGTAGCCTCATAGGAAAGGAACGTCCTTACAAACCGCAACGCTCTCATCTATCCGCTCCACAGACGTAGAAATGAGATGTTTCCGAAACTAGTGCTAGAGTTATTTGCCTTTCACTTCTGCCAATCCCGATCGGGCCACGAGAGACACAGAGTGAATGTATAAGATCAGAAAATTCAACTGAAAAGTGCTCAAGTACCAAAAAATTAAAAATCAAGAGAAGAGAGGACGAAATGTGAGCGCGACGGCAGAGTCCAAAAGCCGCAAATTGTCCAAAATCTCAGGAGGCCATGAAAATAAATGTAAAAAAACAAAGGGACAATTCCTCCATGGTCTCATTAAAACCTAAAGGGAGCTCTTTCTCGTAGTCAAAGTGCAAGGAAGAAATAAGTGCAGCCTGTGGGTCCAGGAGCAGCACAGGTCAGGGAGTTTGGTACCAATGCAAGAAATAAAAGCTCCATTTATATTCATAAATATGTGTATAATCATAAACATTAATATGTCAATTCTTTCCAACTGTTGTTTATTACAACACCCACACGAACGGGTAGAAGACGATGAGCGTGACCTCCATCGAGTAGTTCGACTGTAGTCACGCTCCTCATGGGTGAGTAGTGCCCCTTGCACAGCACGGGTGAATAACTTTGATAAAATCCTAAAAGTTATTCAACCCTAAAACTTAAACCTGGTTGGTGTAGGGTTTAGGGTACCTATCGATGGCATTGCTCAGGCCCTAGACGTGGTGGGGTTTCTATCACGAGAAGATGAAAGGCAAGCCTAACATTTGGCATCTTTATTGGCATTCCATTAAAGCAATAAGGAATGGACTCTTACATTGTATTGTGTATCTTTGCAATAATATGTAACAAACTCTAAGCTAATATGCAAGTGAATGTATACTCACCCTCACATGAGTTGAGGAAAAGGTACACGAGTCAAATAAATTATGTTTTTTTACTTATTTTGTTGAGTATCTAGTTTAGGAATAAAATAGTACAAATTCTAAAATATCAAACAACAAATCCATTTGGTTGGATATAGACAATGTGAATTGAAGTGAGTTGACTTTTGAAAATGTCATTTTAAAAAATAATAATTATAGAATATTTTTAATACTTTTAATTAATATAATTCAACTGGAGTTGGATTTTTCATACTTGATAAATTGAAATATTAAGAATTAAAAAAATATTCTTATAAATATGATATTATGATATCTATAGTCTCTTAATAATATTTAGTGAAGGTTTGTTAAAACAATCCAGAAAATAAAAACTTTAATAAGAAGTTTTTATTGAAAAAGTTGTTAATTCTAATCTAATACCATTATGGTTTAGAAAGTCTATTGCAAGTCTAAACAAATAAAGATTAGAAAATCATCAATACAAAAGATGCTACAATAATTTATCTAATTTAATATGTATCTATAGTTCTTTAACAAAATTAGTCCATGATATATTTAATTAGTACATATTAATAAACAAGATGGTATGTTGTAGTGTAGACTTTCTCTATACATCAATACTAACAAATACTATTTAAATATTAATCAAGGATTAATTGAATATAAAAAAATTGATAAAATATTTATGTATTTGTTTTTTATGATATTTTTTATTATTTCACATATGATATTATTAAAATAAGTCGAAGACTACTTGTATATCCAAAAATATGTATAATATATCTAAGTATATTTTACAAATCCAAACTATAATAGAAGAAATAATAATATTTTTAATTCATAAACTCATTAATTCTATAATGGAACAAACTTTTGAGAGGTTTTTTTCTTTTATTATTTTAAACTATAGTTGTAATTTTTTTTTCTAAATAATATTTATTTATAATAAATATGTATATTATAAATATGAGATGGTTTGTGAAACCAACTTTCTTTATTTCAATATGTTTATAGAATATATATAGTTTATATATTCTATTAAAAAGGTTACAAATAGTTTTAGTAATTTAATTGAATTATACCTTATGTACATGATTATGATAGTTTTTGGAATCTTTTATTTTATCCATCACAATATTTTGATACTTTCTAAACATATATTAAAAATTATAAATATTATCTATGTATTTTATTTTTGAAAAAATATAATTATTTCTTAAATTTTTATTTGTGCCAAATTTTATTATAATCATATTAAAATAGAATGAATTATAGATTAGCATAATTTGAAGTTATTTTTTAAAATAACATTAATATTAATGTTTTTAGATAATAAATTCTTTCAAATGCAAGAAAGAGTACAAATACATCCAAATCATATTGATATGTGAGTAATTGTCATTCTAAGAATTATACTAATAATTTTTATTGTTCTTCTACTTCATCATTGTTTTAGTCACTTTTGATATGTGTGCTTCTAGTCATTGTTATTTTTATATCTTATGTAGTTTTAAATTTTTTTTTTAGGAAGTTGTGAAGGCCACATCTCTCATTGCCAATTGATAAATGATTCCATCTATTTTTGGTCTCCATCTCTTATTTCCCTTGTTCATTCCTCATCTCCCATCTCAATCTCCTTCTCATCCCCATTCCCATCCTCATTCTTGTCCTTCATTTCTTATTGTTAAGTATTCATTGCAAGTAATCAATATAAACTAGCATACCTTGATTCTTCCAAGTGTTCTAAACCATTATAAATTGACCAATTCTATTTTCACATTTTGATATGAAATGTTGTGATTCCTCAATCCAAATTTCAAATGCATTCCATACCTCATCCAATTTTTTCAAGAATTTTACATGAGCTTGCAATAGGAATTGAATGTAGTAGTGATCACAATGGTGGTTGACTAGATAGAGCTTAAACAGCCTTAGAAAATACTTCTCTCCCTCCTTCCCTCCCTCATAATATATTTCGAAAAATGATAGAATGGCTTAGTAATATTGAAGCCATCACCCCTTGCCAAAAATGGTTACTCGCTCTAAGAATTCATTGCATTGTTATATGTATTGGTATAAGACCAACCATCTTTTCTAGTTGCCCGCCACCAAAAATTGGTAGCTAGACTCCTTAGCTATCTTCAATCATGCCATAGATTTAGGTTTTCAAAAGTATTTAAGTCCTGAAATTTGATAGTAATGTGAATTGAATAAGTGTAACAATCATTTTTTTGTTTGTAAAGGAAATTATTAATTCTTTTAAGATATATAGATATTTTTTAAAATATCCTTCAAATATTATTTAATAATTATAGATTTTTAAAAATATATGTATATTTCAAATTTCTATTAAATAAAAAACTAATTAATTATATGTATAATTTTGAAGGTTTGTTCCAAAAATATTTTGCATGATAGTTTGAGCATGAATGATTTTTTCATTTAGAAACTTTGTTGATTTAAGTGTACCAAACCAAATATATGCATTCATTTGATTGATGGAATTATTTTAGGAATAAAAAATATAAATTTATATTTTACAATAAATTTTGATGGTTTTTGGACTTATATCATAATACTTTTATTTCTTATAAACTAAAACTACTAAAACTAAGAAGAAAAGGTTGTGACATAACAAAATTAATTTGAATTTAAAATATAAAAATAATTTATTTTATGTTATTGTAAATAAATATAAAAAGTATGTTGATTTAGGCAGTTGACTTTGATGAAATTTTTAAAAATAATATATATTATCATGTTTGATTGATCATATGATATTTAGCTAACTTGTTAATATTTAATAGTTATTCTATTGTATTTTATTTCAGACAAATCAAATATATAAATAATATATTAATTTTATGATTGGTTTTAATATTTAAAAAAATAGAAAAAATTTTGTGATTGTTAATCCATTTTAATATTGTACAATTAATATTTATATTAAATAATAACTTTTGATAAAAATTGATGTTGCGTTCTTATTATTATTTTTTTTGGTTTGAATAGCATAGTATAAAACATATTTTTTCATGTATGAATAAATATCAAGTAACATACATTGAAGTAGACAAGTGTGATTGGATTGAAATAAGTAATTGTTGTAAAGAATGAATGAAAGAATACATCAGATCTTTCCTAACATAACACATGGTTTATATTCAAACAATTATTTTAATAACTTTTATCCTTTATTACTACTAAGGACTTGAAGAATAAACTCTAACATTTTTATGTATCTAAATGGTTTCATGGTGCCAGAAAGTACAACTTGTACCTCAAAGAGATGCATTGATCATTGATTTTTTAAAATTTATTTATTTATTTTAGTTATTTTAAAGTATTGTTACTAACATTTCCTTATTTGAATTTACACAACAAATCTGAAGAATAACTATTTTAAATAAATTTAATCAGGTGACTCTTAAGGATATAAGAGACTCCAATTACTCTTAAATGTTATCCTACAAGTATTGCAACTTACAAATTTCAGATGAAATAAATCCAAATAACTTCAAAATAAACAATGATTGAGTTCAAACCAATCATCTGTAATATAAAGTAGAAAAATCTTTGGGCAAGATTCAGGGATTTTTTAAAACAAAGTATATATATCCACGTAAACACATTCAAAACATGTGTTGTTGATTCCATTACACACATTTGTGTACATAATTAATTCATTTATTTTTTGTTTCTACACATCATAGAAAAATAAGTTTCGTATTTAGAAGCTCATTTTCACACCAACCAAAAGCTTTGGTGGGGCCCAAAAATATCATCCAACAAAGCCCACATTCATTCTAGGCTGTTGCAATTTCATTCAGTCCGCTTCTTGAAAAGAAACTCCCCGAACTCATCCAACAAACGAACGAATATCAATCACAAACACATTTCGATACGCATTCATCCACTTCATCCAAATCACGAAGGAGTTTCATTCACATTTCGACTCCGATCGACATTCATCCACCACATCCAAATATTTAAAGATCATGCATCCGAAATCAAACTCCAATCTGCATTCATTCGTCCAAAAACAGCCTCGTCTTCGTCTTCTTCAGCGTGGGGATTGTTTTTCGAAGGGGGAGAAGAGAGACGAAGAGCAGCTATCTGCTCCGTCTATTTATTTTTTCAACGTCTATTCCGTTAATTCGTGAGGACGCTATCACTCAGGCTATTTTTGTTGCCGAAATCGCAGTTCTCGCAGTTCTTGCATCGAGGATATATTGTTCTTAGTTGAAGGCCTCGAGGAGGATTTGCGCGATGAGCAAGGGCGTGTCCAAGGTGGGAAGGGCCATCGACTGGGACTACCTGAACAAGGTGGTGGTGTCGGCGGACGGGAAGCGCCACCTCCAGGCGCTGCGTCGTGCTTACGACGACGTTGCTATCACCATTGTCGATAAGTTCAGCATGGTGAGGATTATTTATGTATACCATATGTTCCTTTCTGTAATTCAAGTGACAATCGAGGCTGGTGTTGTGCAAGTGCTTCTTTGTGAAGTTTCTTTGTGTGTGTGCGCATTTGTGTTCTTGGCTTTGGAACCCGTGAGCTGCATTAACGAGGCTCAGGATTGATGAAAGATCCACGGTTTTCTCATGATTTTGTACTTATCTGGCGATGTCTTTTGTGTCTTGGGTGTCTTGAGTGTCTTGAGGTTGTTGGAATGTGCGTGTTCGACCCTGCAATTGCAGCGTTCTTTTCATGATTTTGCGATACTACATATTTAAACATGAGCAGGGAGCAACGTCTTGCTTTCTCATATGAGACGCCTCTTAAGTTGTTCTACACGAGTTCTTTTCTTGTGCCATTCGATTTGCCGCAAAAGTTTCTGCGCAAATTGAAATTTGAAGGGGCTATGGTCGTGACGTTGAAGATCGGGACTGGGTCTCGCTTTGCACGAGTCCGAGTAAGATGAATGATTCTTGATTTTTTATTGCAGAAACCTCCATGCATCAATTGGGACCTCTACAAGGAAAAGCTGGGCCCACGCATCGTGGACGTTTTTGAGAAGTCGATCAACTGTGAGTCTCATAGCACGGACTTCGGTTTGCATGTTCAAACATTTTCATCGTAGGTCGTCCAAACAGTGGTCATTGCCTCAAGACCGACGAAACCGAAGCCAATCTTATGTTTGTAACTTATTCGTTTCTTAATTGACTCGTTATTTTTTTGTTTAATTTTGTTTCATTGTTAAACCTGTAGTTCGATACAGAATCTCTTCTAAACATGGTGAAAATTTCGAGGTCTAAACTGATTAGCGAGTGTCCGTAGGTCAAAACCTTGTTCAACTTGGCGTTGCCAGCCTCATCTTTACGGGAAATTTTGGGGACAGATTTACTTACAACGAAAACGTCTGATCTGAAATGCCTCAGCTCTTGATAAGGAGGTGCCCAATTATGAGTGCGACTACACCAGTGACTATCAAGTAACGCACCGAAAATTGGTATATCTTCTAAACATGTTGAGTGCAGTCGAAGTGGTTCTGTATTTCTATTTTATCATGAATCAAATCAGATTTCTGGAACAAAGTCTTCGGAACATACAAAGGAGATCCTGGTCCCTACAGCTGCACAAAGAGACTGCAAGAGAATGCTCGATTATCTCAACCGTGACAGCCTTCAACAGCTTCCGGGATTTCCCTTGTCTTGGTTTTCCGAATTTTGATGAATCGGTACTTTCAGATGTGCCACTACCACCGCCGTGAAGACTGAGGATTTATATCCATCTCAAAGGAACCACTACAGTAGTCATAATGTGCACAAAAAGCTCTGTCTTGACTTATCTGCAACTCGTAGAAAATCGCCCATTCCAACAGCAATTTCACGCTTTTTTTCTCTGGAAACTTTGCATTTTCCGTGTGTCCGTCATTTTGCTCACGTAACAGAACTTGTGTTCTTTACATTCAGCTAATAAAGGCTTGCGAAATGGAAGCCCAATCGAAGAAGAAGATCATTACTATTGACGAGGAACTTGCCAGGATTCGAGACGAGAAGGTATGCACAAGCATGTCAGTCGCATTTAGTAACTAGAAACTACTGAAACATAAGGTCGCAGCCATGAGCCTCATCGTCATTTGGTGGTGAATAATAAGACACGATGCTGGGAGCAGTCTCAGGCAGTGAACTTTGTTGGTATATTTTGTTCATTAAATGATTCAAAAATCCCTTTTTCCAGATCTCAGTGCACGGAATCAGTAACTGACACAGAACATGCTCACTTTTGCAGGAGGGACTGGCCACAGTTACAGTGGATGAGTACCTGCTCAATTATCCAGCACTGCAGAAGAAAATAGACGACGAGATCAGGAACCACAGTTGGGGCTGATTTCTCATGGAACTGCAGGAGTGACAAATTTAACGCAGATAGAGAATAACAAATGTGAATGTGCTGGTGGCTGTCTGGAAGAGTGTGATACGCATGCTTGGCAGTGGGAGTTAAAGAAGACAGTGATTCACTTAGACCATGGATTCTTAGGACCTAAGCTTCAGCTTTATTTTCAATACAATTGTTCAAAAATTTATTAAATAGACTTGTACACTTCTACAATATAAAATAGAGCAACAAACAAAGATTAAATTTGCAATTCACATGGATTAAAAAAACTACAGTCATTCATGTTTGCAAAATTGAAGAATTCATACATTGATGAATTTCATCAACCAATTTCTTTTTTAACTATGTCACTAGCTTCATAACTACGTAACTACAAGGAGTAAAATTGGAGAACGCAAAACCGTGTTCATAAATTCATTTTCAAACCACAATCATTGTGATTGTTATTTTGTTTTTGATTTTTTTTTATTGGGTGTGTGTAATGAAATCTCTTTTGGGTTAAAACTTAGACCAAAGTGAATAATAAGGTAAAAAAAACCGCTTAGGAAATGGTTGTAATTGAAGGTTGAAAATGCTTACAAACTAGAATTTGTGCAGTTGTGAATTTGATTTGGTAGATTACTCGAGAGAGGGAAAAACCAACAAAAAGAAAAAAAGTAAAAAGCACAAAAGAAAAAATGTGTCTAATAAAGTATAATGTGTAATTTGTACGCCACTTTTAGCTAGGGCTTTATTTTGAAATACCTAATTTTCCTGATCCCAGAGTTGCACCATGTTTTATTTTCGGTCAACTATAAAGGGATGAAATTCATCTACGGAGCTGACTAAATCATCCATCCTCGTCAAATTAAACAGACCTTGTTGAACTGCTTCGAATGCAAAATACTCGTGAGCGAGAGGTCTGCAAGGCACTGCCAATAATCACCTCCCCGTTGAAGCCTTAATTTACAGCATCTTCCAAACCTTCTCCTGGGGAATTTAGGGCTTCTTGTCGACAAATTCTAATTTACAGTGGCTGGGTAATGTGTAGGACACGACAACATCATACTATGCAGTCCACATATTATTGTGACCAGAATTCTGCTGGTGTGCTGCTGGTGTGAAATGAAGCAAACGTGAGCCGAAACACCACAGAATCAGTTCCTTTGTTGATTTTTGGATGAACGACGTCCAACCTTGATCGACGTCTTCTCATCAACCGAGCCGGAGTCGGGCACATTTTTTCTGTTTCGCAGGACGGAGACTGTGTTCGACAGGACCCTTCCTTTCTTCAGCGACCCTGAGCTTGTGAAACCCTAGTCGGCGTTTGGAAACGTGGAATGATCGCCAGTGGCCGGCGTTGGTGGAGTCCCGCGCGATCATATCACAGAAGAGAAGCACGAGTGCTGTGCATCGACAAGCTCCGTAGAGTTCCCTGTTGAGTTTCGTTGGGTATCTGCTTCGGTTAGTATGGAACGAGAGCGAGTAGCGGGGGTTTGTGCGAGGTTGCCGTGGAGACGTGTGAAGTAATGCGAATTGGGAGAAGCAGATCATCGGGCTCCACGGGTAGGTTCGACAGCAAGGTGCAACGAGAGGAGCCCGTCGGCAAAGTTCAAGGTGCGCGGATGTTTTGTTGAGGTATAGTGCAGCTCCATTGTCGTGGTCCACAGTAAGAAGTGTGTATGATGTGCTGAAGCTGTGCCGTCCTGTCTGATGTTTCGTGATGTTCGTGAAACGGTTGAAAGTGTTATTGTACATGTGGGCAGATGAGTTGTGCGAGGTTTCGCCGCGAAGGCTCTTCTCTTTCTGTTGATGCTGTTATATTGTGGGAGAACGATGGATGATGTGATCAGTCGTGTCCAGCTCGAAGTTGGCATTGCTCATTGCCAGTGCAATCGCTGGTTGAATGAGTGGCGAATTCGTACACTATTCACCTGGATAGTGTACCATACCATGGACGATGGCGGTATTACGATTTTTGTTTTTAAATATTATTTCCATCTGATAGCAGCCATCCAAAGCATAACCCCTCTGTCGTTGTAGTATAGTGGTAAGTATTCCCGCCTGTCACGCGGGTGACCCGGGTTCGATCCCCGGCAGCGGCGAAGGCTTCATTTTTGTGTCTGTCTGTCGCTTGGGCGTTCTTAGTGTTTGCACAATTCCAGCTATCTCACAATAAACTTGTGTGTGTAAGAGGAATTTCCAAGCAGCTGGAATAGCTCAGTTGGTTAGAGCGTGTGGCTGTTAACCACAAGGTCGGAGGTTCGACCCCTCCTTCTAGCGCTCGTGGCCGAATCTTCGTTTAGCATCGAGCTTGCACCTGACAGTACTTCTGCAGAAGCTGGACGCCTTTTGTCCATGTCAATCTGCAGTTTGAAACATGAACCCCTAAATTATATATATATAATCTACCTTTTATGTTTTTTGAGACCAATTTTCATATCAATAGTGGTTTACATCTAATATAAGTTACTGCCAATTTGAGAGACTAATCTATATCACCTCAAGATTATTGTTGATATCCTTCATCATTATAAATTTTTAACATTTTAAATTTCAAACATAGCCTTATATCCATCTGCAATCTCACTGCAGACAGAGATCGTCTTTAAGTTTTTCTAAATTGAGTTTTTTTGTTGAATTGTTGGAAAATGATTGTTGTAGGGATTCATTTGATGCACATTGAAAGTTGGTTGTTTTGCAACCAAGTCTTTTATTCACATCATCATGCCTTTTGCAGAACATTGTTCATGGAAAGCACATTATGATCAAATTTTAGGGTTTTCAATGTTTACCACACTTTAGAGCCACCACCACTCTTAAACCTAGCTCTACCAATAAATATGTAAGTTAAAGCAAAAGAGAGCATTATACCATCTTGACATTAGGATTTTATTGTCATCTCTATTTTATACCAAGAAAGTGTAAAATTACTTGTTAAGGGGTTGTGTTGTCTATTCTAATAATCACACACATCTTCAATACTAACTTGTTAAGGGGTTGTGTTGTCTATTCTAATAATCACACACATCTTCAATACTAACTTGTTAAGGGGTTGTGTTGTCTATTCTAATAATCACACACATCTTCAATACTGACTTGTTAAGGGGTTGTGTTGCCTATTCTAATAATCACACACATCTTCAATACTGACTTGTTAAGGGGTTGTGTTGCCTATTCTAATAATCACACACATCTTCAATACTGACTTGTTAAGGGGTTGTGTTGCCTATTCTAATAATCACACACATCTTCAATACTGACTTGTTAAGGGGTTGTGTTGCCTATTCTAATAATCACACACATCTTCAATACTGACTTGTTAAGGGGTTGTGTTGCCTATTCTAATAATCACACACATCTTCAATACTGACTTGTTAAGGGGTTGTGTTGCCTATTCTAATAATCACACACATCTCCAATACTGACTTGTTAAGGGGTTGTATTGCCTATTCTAATAATCACACACATCTCTAATACTGACTTGTTAAAGGGTTGTGTTGCCTATTCTAATAATCACACACATCTTCAATACTGACTTGTTAAGGGATTGTGTTGCCTATTCTAATAATCACACACATCTTCAATATTGATTTTATAGGCAGTAATCCAATTTGAGTTTAAGATTGATTTCTATAATATATTGCTACCATATATTCCTTTTAGATTTTATTTTCTAGAGTTTTTTATAAGGTAACATTTTAAAAAATATACAATATCTTGTGGGATACATCATAGGTTATTAATACTAAAACAAAGTCCTTAAATATTTCAAAAATATGGCCATTTGTGTTCTCTGATTCATACTTTATATAATGTGGTTGTGTTCATGTCCAAGGTCTTTTCTTTCTTTCTTAAGCAACTTGAGCAAGTTGCATAATAGAGACTTTGCAAAGGTTATATCAAATCTTTAAGTACCTTTGAAAGAAGATAAGCTTTGCCAAGCAAGAATGCTTTTATAGACCTTGACTGTGCTATTTTGAAAATTGTAGCAAATGGCGATGCTCTTGTCTCTCATTCTCCAATTTTGGTACTTGTAGATGCTTACTCCAATCGTTTCTAAGTAATGGCCATAGAATTTTTTACAACATTATAATTTTACATTAAACAACAAGCAAATTGTTTCAACACTGCTATGCATAATCCACTCATTCATATGGTCATGCCATAATAAGATATCTTTTGATATAAGAAGTAGATACTTAATAGAGAGTTGCTAAAACAACACCTCTATATTGTAAATGTGACACCCTTACTTATGTTTTCAAAATAAATTTACATGGTTGTTATACCAAATCTAGTTATGATATAAAAAAATCATGATAAATTTATATGGTAGATATTTAATATTTCAAAAAATTAAAAGTTGTCATTGGAAGCATGTTAAAATTTTATTTCTTTGCTGATCTAACATTGCTTGGAATAATCAATTAATACACAAATCTCATAGGCTAGTTAGTACCTATATTGAATTGATCTTTTGATTTCTATTTGTATAGATAAAGATATGTTAAAATCAATGATCTTAACAATGTGATAGAGAATTATGCAAAGACAAATATATTATTCAATACTACTTAAAATGATAATACCTACACGAGGCTTATAAAGACTTCAATCTAAATTCCATCTAATCTAATAAAAGAAAAAGATCTAAAATTTTACCAAAGAGCTTCATACTAATGAATATCAATACATCTTCATCATCCACCTTGATGCAACCTTCTATCAAAGACATGAAACAAACAAGAATCTTAAAATATTCTTATGAAACTCAAAAAGAATAAATATTTATTCTAAAAGTAATATAGTATTAAAATTAGAATGGCTATTACCAAAGACAAGAAGAGTATAGACTCTCGATACTAGATTAAAATGAAAAAGATATTAACAAGAGTGAAGAAGACTTCACTCTTGCCTCTATTTATACTATCAACCTAGGAGCTACGTGGTAACATTCTATAGGACCTCTGACATGTATTCAAATTGCAAGATACATTTCTAAACTTGCAAGGCAAGTTTTCTATATGTGTGCCATATAGTTAGCTTGTTCCAAAAGCTACCAACATATATGATACATGGTTAATTTATTAATTAAGTTTGTAATCTATAAACTTGTGTAAAGTCAAAGCCGCATCTATGAAGCCTCTAGAAGTTTTTTTAGAATATATTATAAACTTAATTTACTTTTATTTATTTCTACTTAATCATATAAATAATTATTAGAATAAATATGTATGTTTGAGATATTACCTCTTCTTCTAAAGATGAGTTCTTTCAAGAGCAGTCATAATATGTTGACAAAGTTCAAGATTTGACAAATTATATTTGTCACATACTCTAATCTTTGTTTTCTTCAAAGATGGTTGATAGGTCTTTTCATCCATCGATAGTATCTCATACTAATGTAAAAAGACCACTTTATTATTTAATTATTGTTGAAGCCTTCATAACCCTCTTTAACAAAACATTTGAAACACTGTTAGGAATTGTTCTTATCTCTAATAAAATTACCAAATACTAGGAGTCTCTTCAAAGCTTGTAATACCAAATGCATTATATTTTGCCATTTATTTGAAGAAAATATGTCATTCCTTAGGATTTCCATCTTGCTTATATGTCAAAGACATGAATCTTAAAAAATTGAAAGATCAAAAAACTCTCATATCATTCAAAAAGACTAAATAATTATTCAAAGATGATATAATATTAAACTAAAATAACTATTGCCAAAGACAAAAAGACTAGAAAGTCTTGTAAGAAGACTAAAGACTAAAAAGCTATTGATAAGAGTGAAGAAGGTCTTTTTCTTGCTTCCCTATATACTATTTAATAAAGAGCTATATGGCCATATTCTATAGATCTTCGAATACATGTTGATTTTTTAAGATATATATCTTAACTTATTAGGCTAGTTTTTTATGTATGCACCATGTAGTTAGCTTGTTTTACAAGCCACCAGTACATGTAGTATGTGGTTATCTTGTTAACGAAGTTTGTTACTCACTTTTTAACTATAAATATGTGTAAAGTCAAAATCACATCTATAAATCTTCTAGGAAGCTATTTTGAAATATATTATGAAATTAATGTACTTTTACATACTTCTATCTAATTATATAGGTAATTATTGGAATAAATATTTATATCTATGATATTACCTTCTGTTCTAGAGATAAGTTCTACAAAAAGTAATCATCATCTTTTATAAATCTTGCTATAATTCATCTAGATATTGATGGATGTTATTGACAAATAGCCTCAATCATCTTTGCTGTATTAGTAAGATTCTTTGTTAGCTTCCAAGTACATTCATTAATATCATATGTACGCTTATGAATAAGATATGTTAACTTATTATATTGTTGCCTTAAATTTAAGACTTCTTTCACTTCAAAGCTTTGATTATTTTTCACTTCAATGAGAAAAAGTAGCATTTGTCTTTTTCTTGAGATATTCATTGTCTTATGTGGCTCAAAAAGAGATATGTAGAATACAAGATGGATCTTTATAGACTTCACTAGATATAATTGATAAGCACTAGAATTGACTTATTTATAAATAAAAAATAGTCCAATTCTATGATAATCTAACTTGTTATAAAGGTGACTAGTCTTGATATTGTGATAAAATAACTATACTTTATTTCAAACATAGAATTGAGGTTATTCCTTTTGATAGGTATCTATATTGCTCTTTTGTCCTTCTTGATTTTTTTTGAATTGTGCCTTTTTTATTGTATGTATCTCAAATAAAAAATTTGCCAAATCTTTTATTATAGGATTATCAATTTTTGAGAAGTCAAAAGTATCAAGACATAAAAAATAATTATAATTGATAAAAAAAATTATTACATAAAAAAATGTATCATATTATTATAAGCAAATTTTATCAATGGGAAAAGAATTGTTCAAAAATCTTATTAGTAGGTGATGGTACACCTTAAATACTATTTCAAAACAAAGTTTTATTCTTTGTCTGTCCATCAATTTAAGAATAAAAGGTCAAAGATAGTTAGCTATATATCTATCTTTAGAATTTTAAAAATAATTTTGTAAAATCTTGATATAAATTGAATCTCCTTATTTGATATAATATCTTTAAGCAATCTATGATAGCAATAGATTTTGACAAGAAAAAGCTTAGCTATTATTTCATTTGTTATAGATTTTGTACATAGTACAAAATATGCCATTTCAATAAAAAATTTACTATCACAAATATAGAATCATACAACCTTGAAATTGAAAGATTCATATTAAAATCCATAGAAATAAAAGATAATTATTTTTCCAAAATAAATAATAGCTATAAAAGTCCATAAGATCATTGAAAATAAATCATTAATCTTGAATAAATGTCATATGATTATACAAAGTCTTTAACTACCTTTTATATTTGAAGCCACTAAAAATTTCTAAATATTAGCTTCAAAGTCTTATTATATCTAAAATCTCTAGCTACAAGAAAGTCA